AAAATTGCACAAAAATTAATTCAATTCTGTTCATCTGTCCTTGATTATATTGTACATTCATTTTCCATTGTAAGTGCCTCAGTATATGGTTATTTACGTAAGATTTTCAAATTTCATATTTCAAGATTTCTGTTTCTGCCATTTCCTAGGTAGCGTGTGTAAACAGAACTTTGTTGGTTTTTTTTGCCTAGCCTGAATCTCCATACAGCCAGAAGGAAGGGTTAAACATAAATGCACCACAACAAATAACTATCAACTATACTAGTGTACCTGCTGGTTTGGGGGTTACAGGAGGTTGTTGTACATTATCAGATTTTACCCACGGCCCCTGTTGACCAGTATCCCTCTTCTTTTTTCCTTCACCATCATCATCTTCCTCTTCTACATTCTCCTCTGTCTGTTCTTCAGTCTCCTCATTTTCCTTTTCTCTATAAAAAACAAAAATAATCAAAATATATTAGGTAAAATTATGTATCATGTACTAAATAAGGTTTGAAGCAAAACAGAACAGATTGTTAAGTTGGTATACATTCAAATGAATCAAGTTTTGTATAAATAAGTCTTGTGATATAATTTATCAACAACAAAAAAAGAAGTTGAAGCTTATTAACACTGAGACACCCATTTGTTGTTATTATTTATAATCAATGTTGGCCAAAATAAGGAGTTAGTTTATTCTATCTATACAGTGTTCAATCTAGAGCGCGCCATTGCGCCATTGACCCCCTGAAAAGACCGCCGGCGCAAAACAAATTCAACTGTGGGCCCGATGGGCGCACTCATAGAAAATGCCCTACATGACATTAGAATGTTTTCTTAAACCTGATTGTGAATTATATTAATAAATACTGAATTAAAAACTAAAGTTTGTATAGAAAAACAAGAGCATGTTGGTAAGATAGTTACCGCACTCGGTAACCTTTTTAAAACCTTGATCGAGCGGGGTCTGTAAATACTATGTAGACTTGTTCTTCGAACCGTAACTATTACTTACTTTTGAGTCACAGTTTTATAAACAAAACAAATCGTCACAGATAATCCAATACGTGCGTGTAGTTATAGTTTTTTCACGGTCAAAACAAATAACTATGTCATAACTTTCCGGAGGAAAAAAACTGTATATTTGTGAAAAGTGCGAGTTAATTATAGAGAAGTGTGCATAAATTAATACGAACACGCCTTCATCCAATTAAAAAAGTCTTGAAGATGGAGCTAATCAAACACGATTGGCTAGGGAGTGTCTGACAATTGAGTAAATAAACTTTGATTGGTCTTGGGCTGGTCGGCGCTAAAACATTGTGCATATCATTAATCAATACAGACATCTTAAGCGTGACGTAAGAACTGCTGCCCTGACAAAAGATCAAAGGTACCGGTATGTCAATATACATTGTCTTAGCACCTGTTGACACTTTGTTTTTCGCTTGGATATATTGAGAAGGGTAAATGTTTTAGCGACTTTCTTCATCAACAAAGCTAATTGGGAAATATTATTTTCTTTTATATATCGGGCGCTGATTAAAAAAACTGAACATTATTATCAAATATCCCTGGTAACATTATGTTTCTTTACCAATCAGTTCTTAAAATTGAGCCTGTATCAACGCTAACAGAACTCTCAAAAAAGGTCAAAATAATGTCATTTTTTTAGTTAGTCGATTGTTTTGGAATTTTGCAACCGTTTTTGGTCTACATATTATGATACGTGAACAACTAACTTAAAAGATACAATACCTTATTTGAATTTGATGTTCTTTTAAGTGTGGGCCCCCATTATTCTCAAATGACCCCCTTTTGAAAAGTTTATGGGCCCGCAGGGCCCCCTGGGAATTTGTTCTAGATTGAACACTGCTATATATTAAAAAACTTCTTGAGACCTGTCAATGATAGTTTGAATCTTGGTTACCTGCTTTTATCAACACCAACTTGCATTCTTTGCAATTATATCATCTAAAATACATTGCAAATTTAGCAAAATCAGGTTTAGCTTAATCAAATTATATTTCATTTGTGAATACATGTACAAGCAATTATATCTTCACTCAAGGCTATGCCACTCATGAAAATATACATGCTTGTGTTCACTAAGAAATATAATTTGATTTTACATGCTACACAAACAAAAACAAACCCTCTTTTTTTTGCCCAGATTAGCACACTGATATCAATGACACCTACCTCTGAACAATATTGATGCAAGACAATATATAATTTTCAACTTCCGTGTTTTGTTATATTAATGACAATAACACTTAACTGTAAAACTTCTCTCAAACTGATTTTTACAATCATACAAGATTATATATATTATTATATTAATATTTATATTATTTCCCAGATTTCATTATTCTAAATCCAAAGTCTATAAACTTACGTTACTTGTAGATTTGCTATTCTTAAACCAGAGTAATCTTTTTCAGCCTCTTCTTCAACTTCTTTCCATTCTTCTTCCTGAAGTAAGAGACAGTTCAAAGGTAAAGCATATCTATTCATAATACATATACAAATGTACATGTAGTTGGAAACATTGCAGTTGTCAACAATTGCTAACCTTTCACTTACAAAGCAGGATTTTGCAAAATATTGCCAGTATTTATTCTGACACCCACCACTCACATACTTTGTATGATCACCCTTGATGAAATGAAATACATTTGTAAATATTGTTGAAATTAGGGTGTAAGGTACATGTATTTATGATTGAAGTGCAATTTCCTAATTACTGACAGTGTTTTTTTTCACCAAAATATTCGGCGAAATTCTCCCCATTCCCCCCTCAAAAAAGTATGTTTTTTTTCCCCCTCAAAGCTGAAATTTCCCCCTATAATATGGCAGCCTAAGTTTGCCTGCAATGAATATCATTTTTTTGCAACTAACTGCCGAAAATGCTTTATTTTATGCCTGTAAGACTTACTGTTAAGCAAGGTTTTTCATATAGGTAAGGGGAGCTACTCCTGGTATCCCAACAAGTTTATCATGTGACACATCAATATTTTAGATCCGTATAAAAATCCCCCTCCTATTGCATTTTTCCCCCTCCAATGGGCACCGACCCCCTTCCCCCAAAAGTGAAAAAAAACACTGACTGATCAAGGGAGGTAATTATCAACATTCAACAAGCAAAGCAATGACCTTCAAATTGTCTAAACTAGACATGGACAGCAGTCATGTCAAAAATAAATTCTTAACTTTCTTTAAAAAATGACTGTGTTGACCAATAGCCTGCAGTCAGCAACAGATTCTACCCATGTGACCAGTGCAGATCAAGTGCGGGCAACACATCCATACTGCCTGATCATGGTTTGCACTGTTTGCTATTCTAATTCAGTCTAAATAATGCTAAAATTTGGTTTTGTCAAGATTGAAAGATAGTCCAATTAAGATAATTAGGCATGGTAGGGGTTTAAGCTTGCATTTACCTGCAAATAAAAAGTTTGTAACATTACCATGGAAACTGTAAAGTAACTATTTTTCATTGATGCAAAATGTATCATGAGCCTTGTCTCTTTGTTAAACATAATGTTACCCCTTTATGTTCTTACAGCTGTATAAAATTAGATCAGAATGTTTTTTTGAATACTGATGCATTTCATAGTCATTATAGAATAAGATACATGTATATATCCTGTCATCATTTCAAAATACATATATTTAACATTTTAACATAAATACTGGCAATAAATAATCTGATTCTGAAGAACCATAAATTTTAACCATAAGTACAGTTTTGCATGCATATTAGATTTGAATTTATATAAAAAATGTTTTTATCTATCTGGCATACTTGTACCATAACTGAAATCCAAGGGCTTTTAAGTGAAAACTTATTAATTCAAATATATTAGAAAAATGCATGTGACCAGGAAAGTCTGTGATGTAACACTAAACACATACAAAAACAAGGATTAGGAATACATGTCGCAAACAGACTTGGGATTTTAGTTTTTACAGTATCAATTATATTCAACTTGGATTTTTTTATCTTGAACTCAGATTTCTATCTTGGTAAAAGTAGCTTACATCACAGACTGCAAGAGGATCTAAATAGAACAACATGTGAGTGACAGTGCTATTAATTCAACAAACAAAACAGAACTTTGACAACATGCAGAAGACAGTGAGAACTGAGAAAAGAATGTCTGAAATAATTCTGTCATAAATGAATATATGCACTCTTTACATCTAACTTCTTTTATCACACACCCGTGCCGATTTTGCTACTCCGTAAATATGGTATTGCACGGCCGTGCATATTTTTTGACGTGACGTCATTAGCGTTATACAAACATAGTGTGAAGACGCGCAAAATGTTAGCGTTATACTATAGGCGCGTCAATGAAAAACGACTCTTTTTTTCACTTTAAATGGTCTTTATATTGGGTATGTGATAAATAGAATATTAAATTCATTTAAGTTCATTAATGAATTTATTGCACTTGTTTAATAAAATAATATTATGCTACCCAGAGGCTCACATAATATAATTTTATTCAACTCGTGCAATAAATTCAGTATTGAACTTACACTCATTCACTATCCTATATTTATTGTAATTTGTATCTGTTCAATTTCCAATAATATACATGTATTACAAATAACACTTTCATTAATTCATTATGAAAAACTTACTTTTATTTTAACCTTAAGTAAAACATGGGGAGAGGGAACAAAATAATGTCTAGAAAAATATTTGGTAACTGTCACTTTTGTGAGAATTATTTCCCCTTTTTCATGTTTATATAACACATAATTTTCAAAGTCCTTAAAAAATATGTTGTTATGTAAAATTGTTAACAGAATTGTGACCAACATCTTCATTTTGCTCAAAATTATTGCGCCAGTACCTTTATTCTATATATTTGGATTTAATATTCTGTTTCTGGCATAAATACTTTGACGATTCTTTGACACTGAACATTATAATTTGAAAACTGAGTGAAATGTATGCTGACAGGTGCAGGGTTCTCGGGGACGCTTATTTTGGCGTCCCGGTACGCATGTTTATTACAGCTGGACGCAAATATTTCAGAGCAAGGATTCCACATACGCTAAATTTTGCCTGGGGACGCATAAACATTACCGATTGTTTACAACCACAAATACGTCAGCGTGTGTCAGTCTAAGTCTATAGGTAGGCGGTCCTATGCACATCGACCCGTAAAGCGATTAGCCAATCAGCGATAACGCTTCCGGTCATTATCACGCAATAGTGATCAGACTAATGTATACACGCGCTGTACATGTAATTACCAGATATAGCACGAGGTGATAATTCAACAGTTGATTGGAAATTAGCAAATTTTACCGCCAAAAGGATAAAATTATCGACTATTTACGCCACAAGTTTAAAGACAGTTTTCTCAAATTACAAATGAGTGTAATTTTGAATGATAGTTGAATATTTTCGGCATTTTCTAGGCACAATTTTGCTTTAGTTTCATTCTTGCAAAAACGTTCTATAAGAGTATAAAGAGTTTAAGATATTGTGCCGAAATGCCAGGACAACAAACCAAAATACGCTTACGCTTTTCTTTGATATTTAGATTCTATCCGAAAATTGATCCCGAACATCGGCGATTTCACGTTCGCCAGAAACCCTAAAATTTCGCAAAAATTCTTAGTTTCCAAGCCAAACATGTGAATGAATTCTTCCTTTATTATTTAATCAACATTAAATCTTTAAACATTGATCTTCAATTTGCCCCCTTTTGAAGATATTTGCTAAAATAATTGTCGATCGGATGAATCTCTTACACACTGTGTGAAGCTGTACTTGATTTTTCTATTCATTCCGCTAAACGCTGCCTATATACATTTATGTTTTTTTTACAAATATAAACTTTTTGTCTTTAGAGTGGACTTATTTAACCAGAATAAAATTTGATTTGGTAAAAAAGTGAAAAAAAACCAAAAAAAAACAAAAAAACGATTTCCATGTGTTGATGCATTATAATGAAATAATTTCATAATTAATATTAACAACAAAACAATAGTATACTATGTCAGGCTTCGCGAAAGTTGCCGGACCGTCGGACATGTCCGGCAAAAATCAGGCCGGTCCAATTTTTTTTTTCGGAGTTCCGGACCTTATGTCCGGTACGAATACCGGGATATATCCAAGACCGATCAAGACCGAGTTTTCTCCCTTGAATAAAAAAATGTAAAACGAGTTTTGATTCGCCGTTTCATTTTAAGTGTCCGATACATACGACTGTCAATAACCAAAATGTCGGTGTTACTACATTATTACGCTGGCGCTACGCCCGGAAAAATTCGTAAACTGTCCAATGAAGAAAAAAAAGCGAAACAAAAGGAATACGAGTCCAGGCGCCCGCCGAGAAAATTTGTGGGTAAATGGAAAAATGGCCGCTTTGATCATGAATGTTTTGATTTCAAAACAGAGTCTATCCACAGGTGCTTGAAACAAACTTTTTAAAGTTTTATATGGGCTATATACTATATATCTTTATATACATATATAGACTGGTTATGTAAAATATTTGATTATGTGACTAGCGCCTGTGAGTCCATCAACTGGATAAACTAATGTTTTATTTAAGGGAAATCTTTAAAAGTTGTTTTGTCTTTAAAAAAAACACCAAGGTATTACCATATACATATATTTGGGGAAAAATATTCGGTCAGACAAAAGTTCTTTCGGTCAGACAAGAATTGAAAGTTTGTCTGACCGAATGTCAGGCACATTTTTCAGCAGTTTCGCGAAGCCTGCTATGTAGTTCAGAGTTTCTTTTGAATAACTATAAACTTTGAAAGTCTCTTGAAGATTCAAAATATCAGCAATGCTATTGTGAGCATTGAATGACTAATCTGTAAACATATTAATTGCGAGGCGCTTTTGGACTCCAACTTTTTCAGGGATGGGAGTCCATGGACTCCATGTTTTAAAGTCCTAGTGAGAACCCTGAGGTGTTGACGCAATGATTTGGATCATACAGCAGTCATTTAACGTATTTTGTTTCATACTTTTTATATGTAAAATATTTTTTAAGGACTTTGAAAATTATGTGTTATATAAAATTAAAAAGGGGAAATAATTCTCACAAAAGTGACAGATACCAAATATTTTTCATTCTGATTATGTTATACATTATGCTCAATAAACAAAGTTTAAAAGAAATCTCTTCATTATTTTTCTAGAAATATAATTTTTGATGTCATAAGCCCGATCAGGCATTTTCACCGAATCCGGGTCAGCTCGGCCCTAAAACGTACTCGGCCCCCGAGTCAGCTCGGCCCTATTCCAACTCGGCACGGGTCAACTCGGCCCACTTTCCAATTAATAATATTTAGGTATTTATTGTAATTATTGTAATTATTTATAATACATGGATTGACAGTTTCCAAACTAGCAGCAGACAGGCTTTCTTATCAGTAGAATAGTGAGTAAAGATAACCGATTGCGTATCTCACTGTATTTCTGACTCGTGGTAGGTTTAACGGTAAATTTAAATACCTTCAGTGTCCAACTAACTCATTCATTCAAATTTGATTAGTGACCACCTGCAATTAATTAGAAGCTTATGATATTAAGTAAACACGTTTTTGTTTCTTATTTTTTGAATAGTACTTTTAATACAAACAAAATGCATCTAAGGAAACACATTTTCATTAGATCTATATTAATTTTATCGAATCTGCAAGACAAATAAATAACTTTTTTTCTAAATATATTTAATTCCGTAGAAGTAGATCTACAATGTAAAATTATATAATAATAAAATATTTCTCATTATTCATTTACCTTAACAACATGCAAAGCAAAGTTAATACGTTATATATATTTTTGTAAAGCGGGCCGAGTTGACCCGTGCCGAGTTGACCCGTGCCGAGTTGGTATAGGGCCGAGTTGACTCTTTTCCTTTTCACCAGCCTGTTAAAGTGAGTTTAAACATAACGTTTTAAACAAGCTTACTTTTTGTTTAGTTTCCATTTTTCCATTGTTAAGTGTAAACAAACTGATTATGAGAATTCTAGCGGTCTAATGTGAAATTTATCTTGAAAATCATGCACAAAATGCACAAAATGCATGAAATTTGAACCTACTCATCCTGGCTTTGAAAATATTTTTCGATCATTTACTGTAATTTACGGTAGTTGCTGGCCATACAGTACAGGCCTATATTGCTAGCTAAACATAAGTGACTCCAAATGGCTAGACACTTCCATAATTTACAGACGGTCTATAAATATATTAGACTTGATAAAAGTATGAACAGCGACTGAACAGCATCATTTACTCCCATCTCAATGACATAGACACTGTAGGCCATTGATAAAAAATAAGCTTATTAATTATTATTAGGCTTAGAAATTTATTTATTTCAATATTGCCTGCATAAAAATTACAGCAAAACTATTTCAGACATGGAAACTGAGAGAACAGAGGAGTGGATCATAAACCAAATCCAAAACCTCTTCTGGGTTTACTGTAATTCCAATTGTGTTGCTGTCAGATTTTGTATTTGTAGAAGTTTGTGTCTTTTCTTTCACTTTCTTCTTTTTGTCTTTTTTAACCGGCTCATCTGTTGTTTCAAGAATGTCACTAGCAATGACTTTTGAAGACTTTGACTTCTTCTTGCTTTTGTCTTTCTTAGCAAAAAAGTCGTCTAAACTAGCTTCTTCCATTTTAATGTTTATTTAACCTTTAAAACACTGTACTTATGCTCAAAAGAACCACAAAATGTTACTTTTGCGCAATAACATCTCAATCTCTCGTGTACCGGAAACGGAAGTATAACATTTGGTCTGGCTAAATTTCTTACGAAGAAGGCAATAGTTTGTTGAATATGAAATCACCTGACAAATTAAAGCATTTGTCTATTTTTTGTAAAACCTTAATGGCCAAATTTAAGTAATTATCAGAATATAGGCATAATCTTACATTACATTTCACATATTTTTGTTTGTTTTTATACAGTATCTACCTATACGGATTATGTTCTACTTTCAAACTTTATTACGGTCTCCCCCCCCCCCCCCCCCAATGTATTACTTATACACCTTTGTCAAACTTAAATCTGTGTTTTATTATTATTTACTGTACTTATGTACCTGAGAGAATAAAGAGTATGTTCTGTTCTGTTCTGTTCTGGCTATATATACATGATGGCATCAATAACAATGTAACAAGTTAGAATAATTATGTCTAATTATGTTGTTTGGATACTTTAAAGTTTCCATGCGCCGATGTACATTAAAGGATTGCGGTTAACGAGTATGTAATGTCAACTAGCACCTCCATTGTCCATGCACATGCATGTTTGCTCTTTACAGTAAAGGTGTTATGATTACATGATTAATGGCAACCGCTACGTCTTTTTCTTTTAATCAAACCATAATCATTGGATTTAAATAAAACACTGTGATAATTTTTCAATCAACTATTTTAATGGTGATCCAAATTAGGCGGATAACTTCAAACAAAGTTTTGTTTAATCTTGTATTTCGAAATCATTAAGAAACATCAAAGAGATGCTACGTACGCTGCTATGTTATCTGACTAAAGGGAAAATTTAAACATTGAAACTCACTCAACTAACTTTTCTCATAGACTTAATTCTGAAATTCATGCAAATCATTCAGGGGTTATTCTCATCTTTGAAATGAATCTGATTTGATTTCGGTAATGCAACACATTATTAACAGGGGAAGTAATCATGATATATTGTAATATACATATCCGTCTATAACATCATCATTTTTTATAATAAAATATTATTTTCCTTTGTTTATGGTTCAGTTTGAATGATTTTATATTAATTAATTAAACAAGACCTATGAAAATGTTTGTTTTAACTTTTACAAGCCGGTTTCGGTATAGTAACATATATTTCGGTTCGTGACAATCAGGGAAATAATCTTGATATTTATATATTGGTTTCTTATTTCATAATTATTAATTAGTTCGAACTGATTTTTTGCATGAAAGTCAAACTAAACCTATTGTAATAGATTACAATGAAAAAAATATAATAAAACACTTAATTGTGACTTTACAAGTCGATTTCGGTATTGTAACATATATTTCGGTTCGTGAGAAATCGGGGAATAATCTTGATATTTAGTTATATGATCCTAATTTCATAATTATCCATTATTTTAAACTGATTTTTTGCATGTAAGTCAAAATTAACCTATTGTAATATATTATAATGAAAAAAAAAATAATAAAACGCTTAATTGTGATTTTATAAGTTGATTTCGGTAATGAAAAGTTGATTTCGGTAACTTTACCGAAATCAAGTTGATTTCGGTATCGTAACGTACCGAAGAAGGCAGAGTTAACAGAAAGCGACACTCGCTGCAGCCGAATGGCATAAAGTTCGAGTGTTTAAAAAAATGGGTAAAAAAGTTGGCTTGAATGGTAACAACAACAGCTGAAGTAAAAGCATAAATTTTAATATGTTACCACAGAAATAATGATAACAAAATCTATTTTGATGACTTAATCAGTGGGTAGCCCATGGATAAAAAGATTTTAGATTTACATTCAAATTGAAATGTACGTGGACTATCTTTCTGTGAAATGATTTTTTTCCTTATAAAATTGTAAAAAAACTAGCTTCATCCGAAAGAATAAAAAGAACGGGAAATCAAGTTGAATACCTTCCCATTTGTCAAGGGTACTAGCTGTAGTTTATTTGTTACTTTTAAAGTTCATTTTGCCGTGCGCCGTTTGTCAATACTTTAAGACGCGGAAAATTTTACTTATTGTCCGCTACTTTCAACAATAAAGCACCTGTGTTACTATATCAAATGAGAGAAACAGCACAAATATATTATATTGGTTTCCTAACAATTTCCGGTTCTAAATTACGCTATTTTTATAAGTATTGATGGGTTTAAAACTTTAAAAGAACACAACTAGGTACCTGGCCAGCATTTCCTTTAATTTGATTTTGCTTTTGAACTCTTTTTCAAATAGAATAAGATCTAGAGTAAGACAATTGTAAACTTTTCTTGCGTTTATTCAAAATTTCATAGTAATTTACCAAACCTTTACATTTTCAATGTTAATTATTGCCGTGAAATTTTGAAATTTATATTTGAAATTTATATCTAAATATGAATTTACTGTTTGATGGCACCTCCTTGTATTGTATGCAGGTAAAGTAACAAAAAGTAACATTGCACATTGAATTTGACATTAATTTTTGCACTTGGGCATTTATCTTTAACTCCCCAGGAGTTGCTATGGATTTCGTTATGTAGCAAGTTCCCTAATTTAAGGCAGCTTTAAACAGCCGAAAAATCTTCAAAATATATAAACTGCTGTTTTGATTTTTGTGCTGTTTCTCTCATCTGTTTTGTATCATGATGGTATATGTTTGCATTGTTGAAATAAATACTGTTTAAAGGCACATTATGCGTCAGAAATGAATAAAATTTACTTACTTATGAAAGGGCAAACATGAGTATTATAAAGTTTAAGAAATGGTTTAAGTGCATGTAAGATGCTTAATACCAAAAAAAAATATAAGTCTGAATGTAAATTTATTTGTCATAAAGGTAGCGGAATGTAAACGAAGAAGTATTTTGACTTAAAAAAAATACTGTATCACTATATAATTATGCTAATTTCAAAAAGCAACAGAAGCAAAATATGGATAAAGTAACTGGCCAGTGAGTACATGTATCTGTTTCGAAACTATAACAGGACACCAAAAATAAAAAAGCTTTTTAGAAATAAAAATTAAAGCATTTTGGGGCATAATGGGCCCTTAAACCAAAGCCTGGGATAGGTAATATTTATTTTTGTATGAGTTCAAATGGCGATTTCATTTGTGAATGTATGAACATGGTATCTTGATATTGGGGGAAAAAAAACGAAAAAAAAAATGTAAATGATCAATAACTTTGTGTTTTGTCTCAAATCATATTAGTTACCTCGCGAAAGAGCTGAGCTGTTCGCAACAGCCCTCTTGAAGATAATGTGTACAATGTACCACATTTATATAAACAATATATCTTATATTTAGCTCCATGAATGTACAGACAAAAATAGAAAGGATTGACACAGAAGAAGAAAGTGAGTGAATTGGTGGTAATGCTTGACAAAAAATAGCTGTTCTAATTGTAACTATTTCATTGTGCCTCTATAGAACTTATGGACAGTAACTTTTTGGGTGTGTGTGTGTGTTTTTTTTTTATTGTTTTTTTTTTATTGATTGTTTTTTATATAAAAATAAAGGTAATCATCTTTAAACTTCTTGTTTTCTGTTGTTATTTGTTAATTTTTATTTTCTTTCTTGGTAAGTGTTTATATTTTAAATAAATAATAGAAAATGGGGCGGCTTTACCAAAAATCAAAATAGTTTTGGGCCGGATGGTGTAGGCATGGAGAATGTTCGTACTATTTGTTCTATAGTAAATCAGTCACATTTGTGTCCACTGTTCTTGATGAATTATATACTGTCTTCAACTTTAAACATCAACACTATCTAAGTCAAATGAGGCCCAAAATATAATATGTTAGCCATCTCCTTTTTTCAGAAATCTTCATTCTGTTGTAACACAGTTTAAATTCACCACTTTAAAAACTCCTGACTGCTGGTGGGTGGTACATCTTTTATCCTTCCGCCAACAAATGAGTTCCTGGAGAATACACAAAAAAACAACTTTTAAACTCATCATTATAACACTCAAAAACTACACAAATGCAATAAATACACTTTAATTATGACTTAATTTGGGCCACTTCAAAATTTTAAAGAACTACTTTCGATCTAGACTTCGACGGGTTCGGTCTAATTCTGTACCGGTTGACTAATTTGAGACCGGTTCCGGGAGAATAGTTTGTCATTCGTACGGAACGGTACGGTAAAATTCAACAAGGGGCACAACTCTGATTAAGAAAATTTATCCAAAATGGCCGACGATAACTCACCCACATATTCCCCTGACCATTTTCCAAGTTCTCCAGAAGAGGACTCTGTAGAGGTCGCCAAAAAGATGGGGAAAGTAATGAATTTTAATTGTTTCCTCAAAGATCGAAACGGCTTGTTGTGATTCAGTGCAGATAAAACAGAAATTTGCACTATGTGAAAATATTTTGTCCCTGTCCCCGATATCGGTCCTCCTCCTAGTTCTGGCTTCCAAAACTTTATAAGCCACTTTTTAACATTTTTGTTTTTCATCAGATGCGGCATTAAAGTTTTGGATTAGACCCGTTACGAAACCTAACCAGAATAACCTAAGTTGATTTATTCTTGTTTTTCACTTGCAAATACACTTGACCCGATCAATTCTTGTGCATTTTACGGTAAAACAAGTATTTAAATATCGTTCTATACCAATTCAAGTAATAAAATATTAATACCGTCATTAAAATTGCCTTTTTAACTGTAAAATATCAATTTTCGCCGACTACAGTCGGCCATGACATTCAAGTGCCACGCGAGACCTTGTATGACGTCATTCGCGGGAACAGATTTGAATAGAGTTGTGTACTATATTTAGAACATTTTGTTGACATGATTTCGATATTTTTATTCAAGATAATGTTTTTATTTATTTTCATTAATTTTTTAGTAGAGCTCTACTTAAATATGATTTTATTGAAGATAAAAGTCAGTAAATCACGCTTTTCAATATCTTAAAAAAAAGTAATTTATAAAAATATTGGAGGCACATGGGTTTATAAAGGTCAATCTCGTAATCACGTGGTCAAACATTTTGGCAATATGGCGGCCCAAGTGCCGAAATTTTTACCTGTCGGAAACTATTAGGTAGTTTATGTTCGTAATAAGATTTTTATTTGTCCATCCTTGGCTTATCAACAGATTATACATAGTTTTATCAAGGTATGCTTCACTTTACTTCATGGAATGTTCGATGAATAAATACGAGCGTGTCAGATTCCTGGCACGATTATTGGTGGACTTTCCCTACGGGGTTATCTTCAGCGTTCACGTCATGTCATATATATAAACGGGTACGCTGAAGACCTTAAGCTATCCTCCTCCCTGTCCTGGCCTGTAGTGAGGTACGATTAGATAATTTATTAGACTTATGCTCGTTGCAAAACCGTACAAAATATGATTTTAAAGAGTGATTATGTACCCTCTGAAAGTAAATGTTTCAATTCAAGATTCAAATCAAAATTTATCTTTTGTTTATATAATTTTCTAGACTTCCTGAAAAACGTCTACGTCCCTGTGGGGTTTGACATTAATACGCAATATAGATGAATCTGTAGAAAAACGTCAGCACAGCAGACAAAGCTAACATATTTTGCACAGATGATTTTTAAGCTAAAATCGGTCCGACTGCCTGACAGTTTTTTCAGGGACGAGGGCAATTAATGTTCATTATTATATTGACGAATTCCTCAGTTGATGCTAGCGAGATTACTCTTCCTTGAACATTGGGTTATGTAAAAATTATTTTCATAGGCCGACATCATGAATTTAGCCGAAAGCACACAGTATTACATCATGGCGTGCTTGAAGTATTAAAAAGGCGCAGTGCCTGAAATAAAAGAAAATTAACACGGTCAGAAAGAAGTGAAAAGGAACAAAAAAGGGGGTGTGAAAAACCAGTTTAATTTAAAGAAAAATGAAAGAAAGGGCAAGAATGGCTTATTTTATGACAATGTAAAAAACGAAATGTGCTGTTCCTCCTGTATACTTAAGAAAGTTACATGTAGTGAAAGCCAGGCCTGCCTGACTTTACAAACGTTCTCAAACTGAGATAAATCTCCACTTAAGATTGTCTCAATATTGACTGAGATTTTTACTCACCTGAGAAAAATCTCAAGTTGGCTTTCACTAAACTTTTTCTCAACATCATAAAGATTTTCCTCCTTAAACAGTTAAATAGTAATAAATAAGTGATAGAAATATCACATAATAACACAGTGTACTTCATTAGGTGTAATTCCCAAGAGCAAAATCTGTACTGGAATTTTTTTATTTTTTTTTTGAAAAGGTCAATAGTGATATGCAGGCTTTCTACTGGTCCCTACTTTTCCTACTTTTCCCTACTTTTTTCTTTTGATCCCTACTTTGCCCTACTTTTTTCTGAAATAGCCCTATTATCCCTACTTTTTCATTTTGAAATGAAATGAAAAAAAAGAAGATATTTAAAATGGTATTTCAGTTGTATTTTCAGTTGCAATTGATGAGTAGTTAAGGTGTGTTAGTGTCTCCTTGTGATGTCCATCCTTGAAAGACTTATGGTCAGAGCTGCATTACTGGTACTGGTACTGCAGTATATACTGGAGCAATTTTGCAAGTACTGGTACTGATACTGAATTACTCTTACAAAATTGTGCTACTACTCAGGTACTGGTACTTGCATTACTGTCTTAAAAAAGTGGTACTGCTACTGCATTACTACTCAGTATTTTTGGTTTTGATAAAAATGTCATTATTTTTATCATAAAGTAAGCGTAAATTCATGTAATTTTTTATTTTTGTGAAAAAGTAAGTTATCAAATCTTCATAAATATTTGCTGCAATATTTTTCTTCAAATGCATAGTATTCATCATAAAAAAGCAGCAAAAGACTTAAAGTAAAATTAAAATTGAGATAAACAGAGTCAATATCTCTTTACTGGTAAATATCCTTATTGCAATCCTTTATTACTTTGTATTTCTAAAAAAAAAAAAACACTAAATTAATTACTGCTATTCTAAATATTCATATTTCAAGTGATATTGTTAGCACCATAAAAAGTTATTTACTTGGTATAGATTGAACAGAGGTGTGGAGGTGTAAAAGGCAACAAAAAGACTGGTGGGTTTAAAATGTAAGATTATTTGCATTGTGATTACAGTTTACTGGTTACAAAAAACAATAACATATGACATGAATATATGATGATTATTGTTTGTAAAAAGTATGTTTGTTCATTTAAGTTTGTAAAATGTATGTCAACTTTAAAGTAAATGATTTTATTTATTTGTGGAATAATGTTTGCAATTATTTTGAATGACACTGTGTATTTTATTCAAACTTTGATGAATATATAAAAGTATTAGTACTGGTACTTAATTACTTCCCCCAAAAAGTACTGGTACTGCAGTACTAAGCTAAAATCTAGTACTGGTACCGGTAATGGTTCTGCATAACTTGTCAAGTACTTGTACTGGTACTTAAGTACTACACCCTTAGTACTGATGGAGCTTGCTGCCATGGTGTCTTGGCAAAACATTCAGCAACAATTCTGCCTATGAGGTGCATGTCTTTCAAGCATGGACTGAACTGAAGATACACACAGCCTGATGTGGTCTTGGTGATGGTATGTTTTGCTAATTCTTAACTAAAACAGTAAGGAATTCCTACTTTATCCCTAGTTTTTAACATCAGAAATCCCTACTTTGCCCTACTTTTTGGTAAAAAAATGCCCTACTTTTTCCCTAGTTTTTTTGGTAGAGGCAGTAGAAAGCCTGTGATATGCTTTTATTTAGAAAGATATTATTCAACTCACCTTGACAACATAATGCTACTTTATCATACAAATCCTGAATTTTCATTTTTTGCAGACAAACATGTTACAGTGGATGGAGATAAGAGTGTCAGAACCTGAGAAAAGAACAACAACAGCCATGAAGATGACAGACACATATATGGTGTATCTAGTAGAGACAAGGTAGCTTCATTCTCTGTAATAAGGAATCTGGCTAGTAATGTTGCATACATTTTTGCTGACCTCTGAAAATACATAGAAGTGGCAGAGTGGTTATGGCCACTGTTGTGTGTCCAAATACCTACAGGACTTGGTATTCTTTCATGCGATGAAGCTATCCTGCTAGCTTACACAATGTCGGTAGTTCAACTCAGGGGCTTGTTCTGGCTTGAAATAGTTCACAGAAGAGCACCTGAGGTCATCCTCTACTAGTAAAAGTGTAAAATCGCCATATGACCTATACCAACTGTGTTGGTGCGATGTGAAATCGAACAAAAAAAAATCAACAAAAAAAACAAGCTGATTATAAAGTGATTTTTAGCTCGACTTTTCTATGAAAAGGGGAGCTATCCTACTCGCCCCGGCGTCGGCGTCGGCGTTAGCGTTGGCGTCACACCTTGGTTAAGTTTTTCGTACCACCCCACTTTATTTCAGAAGTATTACAAGTATGGCTTTGAAACTTACCATACTTGTTCACCATCATAACCTCCATCTACAGACAAGAGTACATAACTCTGTCAAGGTTTTTGACAGAATTATGGCCCTTTTTTGACTTAGAAAGTGTATTGAGCTTGGTTAAGTTTTTTGTACCACCTCACTTTATTTCAAAACCATTGGAGGTATTGCTTTGAAACTGACCATACTTGTTTACCATCACGACCTTCATCAACAGACAAGAGGACATAACTCTGTCAAGGTTTTTGACAGAATTATGCCCCTTTTTGACTTAGAAAATACATTGAATATGGGTAAAATCCACTTATTGCCTTAACCCTTTGAGATATTGCTTTGAAACTTTTAATGCTATTTCACATCATTACCCCCATCTGTACGCAAGAGAAGGTAACTCTGTCAAGGATTTGTTTTAAAAATTAAGGCCTTTTATCGACTTAGAATCTTGGTTAAGTTTTTAGTACCAGTCCACTTTTTGACTGAACTGTTTGAGATATTAATTTGAAAGTTGGAATACTTGTTTACCATCATGGTCCCAAAACATGGGCAGGAGAAGGTAATTCTGTTAAGGATTTTATTTGAATTATGGCCCTTTTTGACTTAGAAACTCAGTTAAGATTTTCATTCTTGTCCACTTGTTGACTTAACCATTTGAGATATTACTTTGGAAGTTGGAGTTCTTATGTGCCATCATGAGACCTATCTGTAAGCAAGAGAAGATAACTCTGTGAAAATGTTTCTTGATTTGTACTTAGAAATTCCTAGTTAAAGTCTTGTGTGCCCTTAACTGTCAAAGTTTTGTTTTATAGGCAAGCACTAAAAAAGTCGAGCGCGCTGTCCTTCTGACAGCTCTTGTTCTGTTCCTTATGACACAAATGAGAAGTATTTTCACAAGACGGAGAGAAAAAATTTAAAATTAATTAATGTTCTAAAATGTAATGTAATGGTGAATTGATGTAAAATTAAATATTGAATATTGTTGATATCGTGATATTCATGGCATGATATTTAATGACTGTCATACTTTAAGTTCTAGCAGCACAGATTACAATATATATGAGTAAATGTATGACTTAAAAAAGTTGAAAGCCAAAAATTATGAATAGCAGCAACTGTAAGTATTTGAGTTGTTTAATCAGTTCCTTGTTTCAATATTCAGGATTATGGACAACAGTGTAAAATGTAAAGGTGATGGTACAACTTCTTTATGGAGACGATATAGTGAATTTGAAATACTCAGAAATTACCTTGATATAATGCACCCAGCATTAGTTATTCCACCCTTACCAGAGAAAAAAGTAAGTGCCATTTAAGTTTTATCCTTTTTCTGGTTTTCATAGAGATTACAAGATCTAAATGGTAATGCAAAGTTTTAAGCCATTTGAAATTCTGTAGAAGATGGAAATTCATGACGTTCACAGTTATGTGTTTGATCTTAATCCTCATTATGCTAAATTTGTATAAGGATCTTGTGCTACTTTGAAAATAGATAAGGCTATTGTTAATGTGAAATATTTAAGCAACAATATAGAAATGCTGGGAAAGGGGAACGAAAACAAGAAATAAAATAGTTTCTTATAATGCTTAGGTTAAAAGTGGTGGCATAAGCAAGTCTTTATAGCTGCTGGCATTCGAAGGGTGGATTGGAAATTTAACATAGATCTGTACCATAAGTTGGTTGCCTTAAGCTTAAACTTGCAGAATATTTGTAATGGATTTTTCTTGCTTTAAAGTTGGAACAGTCCATTCAAAGTTGAAGGGATATCAATATCAAAATACAAGAAATTAACCAAGCAAAAGTATCGAGGAAGGTAAGACTTCACAGAAGCACAGACTGGCCTTGCTATATACTAGTGACAAAGGCTGATAACTTTCGGTTCCTGCAGCCTGCATCAGTCAGAATGCCAAGTACAGTTTACTTTATTCTATAACTGTTGACAATATTGATAGAGTTGCAGTTACTGTAGACAGGAAAACATTTTGAATTTACTTTGACGGAAATGCTATTTGTTTGTAGGCTACATACACATGGCAGAATATGGCTACAGACAAATTTGAACCAGAATTTATTGAGCGTAGAAGAGCAGCACTTGAAGTAAGCATGTTATATATTTCTTAAAAACAAATTTGCATGCTGTTTGTAAGAGAATATTTCTATTTTGAGACAGTATCACACCAGTGGTTGCCAAGTGTTGCAGTGTCTGCTTTGTATGCAAGAGAGGTTGTTGGTTTGATCCTCTGAAGTGCCATATTTACAATTATATTGATGTTATATATGATAAGTAAGGTCATAAAGGTTATTTCAAGTGAGTGTTATTTAAGAAATAACATCGGCCTGAGAGGTGTGTATTGGCTATTTAACACCGGTTTGGAGTTTTGATGCACAGGAATTGACCACAAAGGCCGTAGGCCTGAGTGGTTAAATTTGTCGCATCAAAACAACAAAACCGGTGTTAAATAGCCAATATACACCTCTCAGGCCGATGTTATTTCGATTCTAACACGATAAAATAAGGAAAATCACTTATGTTATTTTTCAAGCGGAAATAACTTCCGGTGCCGATTTTCGTATAATGCTGTTCGATTTTCGCACCCTACTATTGCGAAGATATAGAAATTATTCAACAAAAGAAATAATAAGAAAAAAACGTTATTTTATCAAGTTTTCAAAAATAAAAACATATGTGGTATTGTGTTTACATCAGTGCCCCATTTATCATTCTTGTATGTATGAAATAACGTCAGCTTGTTTATTAATGAGTTGTTTACTTAGGATGATGTCATTACGCTGCTTACGGATTGGCGCCGTTTTATCAAAATATTTATTAACTGATATGGATCTAATATGTGGCGTTAGTGTATGTGAGATATTATTTCGGTATTGTACGAAAAGAAAACATAATACGAACTGAAAATATAAATAAAAATGTTTTTTATTGTTGCTTTAAAATGCTTTGTAAACTATACAATTGAGGGTGAAAACATAACAGCGCATAAACAAGTAGTCCCTAACCGGTGTTTATTGGCAGTTTAACACCCGTTTTTTTTTTTATCTTCTTTGTCTATAGTGGCAAAATCACGTGAGTGTTAGAATTGTTAGTGTTGTGCCAATAATAGTAAATAACCAAAAAAGGCATGAAAGGAACCCTACAACATTCACCTCTAATGATAGATTTTTAGCTCGACTTTTCTATGAAAAGGGGAGCTATCCTACTCGCCCCGGCGTCGGCGTCGGCGTTGGCGTCACACCTTGGTTAAGTTTTTCGTACCACCCCACTTTATTTCAGAAGTATTACAAGTATGGCTTTGAAACTTACCATACTTGTTCACCATCATAACCTCCATCTACAGACAAGAGTACATAACTCTGTCAAGGTTTTTGACAGAATTATGGCCCTTTTTTAGCTCGACTTTTCTATGAAAAGGGGAGCTATCCTACTCGCCCCGGCGTCGGCGTCGGCGTTAGCGTCGGCGTCGGCGTTGGCGTCACACCTTGGTTAAGTTTTTCGTACCACCCCACTTTATTTCAGAAGTATTACAAGTATGGCTTTGAAACTTACCATACTTGTTCACCATCATAACCTCCATCTACAGACAAGAGTACATAACTCTGTCAAGGTTTTTGACAGAATTATGGCCCTTTTTTGACTTAGAAAGTGTATTGAGCTTGGTTAAGTTTTTTGTACCACCTCACTTTTATTTCAAAACCATTGGAGGTATTGCTTTGAAACTGACCATACTTGTTTACCATCACGACCTTCATCAACAGACAAGAGGACATAACTCTGTCAAGGTTTTTGACAGAATTATGCCCTTTTTGACTTAGAAAATACATTGAATATGGGTAAAATCCACTTATTGCCTTAACCCTTTGAGATATTGCTTTGAAACTTTTAATGCTATTTCACATCATTACCCCCATCTGTACGCAAGAGAAGGTAACTCTGTCAAGGATTTGTTTTAAAAATTAAGGCCTTTTATCGACTTAGAATCTTGGTTAAGTTTTTAGTACCAGTCCACTTTTTGACTGAACTGTTTGAGATATTAATTTGAAAGTTGGAATACTTGTTTACCATCATGGTCCCAAAAACATGGGCAGGAGAAGGTAATTCTGTTAAGGATTTTTATTTGAATTATGGCCCTTTTTGACTTAGAAACTCAGTTAAGATTTTCATTCTTGTCCACTTGTTGACTTAACCATTTGAGATATTACTTTGGAAGTTGGAGTTCTTATGTGCCATCATGAGACCTATCTGTAAGCAAGAGAAGATAACTCTGTGAAAAATGTTTCTTGATTTGTACTTAGAAATTCCTAGTTAAAGTCTTGTGTGCCCTTAACTGTCAAAGTTTTGTTTTATAGGCAAGCACTAAAAAAGTCGAGCGCGCTGTCCTTCTGACAGCTCTTGTTGACTTAGAAAGTGTATTGAGCTTGGTTAAGTTTTTTTGTACCACCTCACTTTATTTCAAAACCATTGGAGGTATTGCTTTGAAACTGACCATACTTGTTTACCATCACGACCTTCATCAACAGACAAGAGGACATAACTCTGTCAAGGTTTTTGACAGAATTATGCCCCTTTTTGACTTAGAAAATACATTGAATATGGGTAAAATCCACTTATTGCCTTAACCCTTTGAGATATTGCTTTGAAACTTTTAATGCTATTTCACATCATTACCCCCATCTGTACGCAAGAGAAGGTAACTCTGTCAAGGATTTGTTTTAAAAATTAAGGCCTTTTATCGACTTAGAATCTTGGTTAAGTTTTTAGTACCAGTCCACTTTTTGACTGAACTGTTTGAGATATTAATTTGAAAGTTGGAATACTTGTTTACAATCATGATTCCCAAACATGTCCAGGAGAAGGTAATTCTGTCAAAGATTTTATTTGAATTATGGCCCTTAACTGTCAATGTTTTGTATTATAGGCAAGCACTAAAAAACTTAAAAAATCTAAAAAAATTCATTCCTATCCACTTGTTCACTTTACCATAAATTATGTCATATAAACATTGCTGTAATATTCAAGGGTATCAAACAACTAGTTTTTTTTTCTTTCTTACCAGCCCTCTTTTGACTTAAACATTTCAAACTTTGCTGCAGTGTTCAAGGGTATCACACAATTCAGTAAAATAATTCTTCACTAAATATCTTAATGCTCATGGCCATTGTTCACTTTAAAAATACAGAGATTCTTGTATTGCCTTTTACTGAAAAAACTTTTTTTATTGGCAAGCAATAAAAAAGTCGAGCGCGCTGTCTTACGGACAGCTCTTGTTCTGTATCTTGTTATATTTGGGAATTTAAATGGCAATATTCTGTATATAATGCTGTCTAGATAAATTTGTTTAAATAAATTTTATAATCAATACTCATTCAATAGTATTTTTAGCTCGACTTTTCTATGAAAAGGGGAGCTATCCTACTCGCCCCGGCGTCGGCGTTGGCGTCACACCTTGGTTAAGTTTTTCGTACCACCCCACTTTATTTCAGAAGTATTACAAGTATGGCTTTGAAACTTACCATACTTGTTCACCATCATAACCTCCATCTACAGACAAGAGTACATAACTCTGTCAAGGTTTTTTGACAGAATTATGGCCCTTTTTTGACTTAGAAAGTGTATTAAGCTTGGTTAAGTTTTTTGTACCACCTCACTTTATTTCAAAACCATTGGAGGTATTGCTTTGAAACTGACCATACTTGTTTACCATCACGACCTTCATCAACAGACAAGAGGACATAACTCTGTCAAGGTTTTTAACAGAATTATGCCCCTTTTTGACTTAGAAAATACATTGAATATGGGTAAAAATCCACTTATTGCCTTAACCCTTTGAGATATTGCTTTGAAACTTTTAATGCTATTTCACATCATTACCCCATCTGTACGCAAGAGAAGGTAACTCTGTCAAGGATTTGTTTTAAAAATTAAGGCCTTTTATCGACTTAGAATCTTGGTTAAGTTTTTTAGTACCAGTCCACTTTTTGACTGAACTGTTTTGAGATATTAATTTGAAAGTTGGAATACTTGTTTACAATCATGATTCCAAACATGTCCAGGAGAAGGTAATTCTGTCAAAGATTTTATTTGAATTATGGCCCTTAACTGTCAATGTTTTGTATTATAGGCAAGCACTAAAAAACTTAAAAAATCTAAAAAAATTCATTCCTATCCACTTGTTCACTTTACCATAAATTATGTCATATAAACATTGCTGTAATATTCAAGGGTATCAAACAACTAGTTCACTTTAAAAATACAGAGATTCTTGTATTGCCTTTTACTGCAAAAACTTTTTTTATTGGCAAGCAATAAAAAAGTCGAGCAGGATCGTCCGCTGTACTTTACGGACAGCTACTTGTTTTTGATTCTAGGGACCGATGTATACTCTCTCACTTAGTCTTACTCCGTTTTAAGGCACACTAAATATTCACCACTATGATAGATTTTCTTCCAGACTATTTTTGTTGATGAATGTTGCAGGCCCCACCCTATTCTGTGTTTGGATAAAATCTTTATTGGTTTTCTTCAAAAGGTATGAAATATTATAATATGTCATTCAGTAGATTCTCATATAACCTCAAAATATTTAATATAACCTCAGAGAATTTAATATAACCTAAGAAAATTTGTTACTACTTTCTTATCTTTTACTTTAATGTAAGCTTGCACTCATATCTTAATATGAGCTTTTTAAGGAATGACTGCATATTAGACTATTTGTTATCGAATTTTCGCTCCAATGATATTTCGCTGATTTGACTTCGATGTTGTTAGGTAATGAGACATCTTCAAGAGCGAAACATTTGGTATATGCACTTGATTAAAATTAATTATACAGTAGGACAACACTATTAATTTGTTTAATGGCTACAGGCTTATTGATCTCCATAGTTAACATTTAAGACGAGGCAATTGGAACCATGAGAACTTCGTTTCAGCCATGGAATGGAATGAGTACAGGCAGTTCAATGTCTGTCAACTCGCTTAATGTAGATTGTATTGTTCACGAGGAAATGCGAAGGCGGATGGAAAGATTTCCTTGTATAGGCAACAGATGTTTTCAGAGTAAGGTCAGAGTTTTGGTGGTACCCAATATCTGGTGACAATATATGCATAACTCATTTGTTTCAACATCTAGCACCTATTTTAGTAATATTGTAACTCGCTGACATGTGTAGTAAAGGCTATATATTCTGCATTGTCTGTGAATTTGGTAAATTTAAGTTGTGTTTAAACTCTGTCGATTTAAATGAATAATTTTTATGAGGAAAAGCAAAGTTGTGATAGCATGAAGCTAGCAGAATTTAACTCATCTGCAGCAACGCTTATCAAAAAAATAGCTACAGGCAGGAATATTTGTGTACCGCGACTTTTAATTTCTGTTTGTGTTACGGCAATGACGATTGTAATAGAATTGGCACTAGACCATTTTTTGTTACAAATATTCTCAAGGAATTTGACCATGATGAGGAATTTGAAAAACAACATAAGTTTATTTGTTGTTTAAATATTCATAGAAAGTAATGTCCGCTGAGATTTAGCTCTTGTATACACTGTTTTAACTACTGTTTGTGAAAGATAAAAGGTTTTTGGTTAAGGAATACCATTGTATTCTATAAGTGGTGCTTTGATGATTTTAATGTTTTGACTATTATTGTGAAACAATCGGGCTTAACAAGTGTTTAAGCCATTGTGGGAAAGTCAACTATTCAGGCAAGACGACTAATAATTTATATGCATTGATAAATGATGCTGTTAGAGCTGTTCTAACAGAGTAGATCTGCTTTTTCTTTTTGTTTTCGTTAATTAAACGGCAACAGATGGAAAGCCTGCTCGAAATGGAAATGAATTTTTTCTGCGCTTTCCCTAAAAAGGGGAGAAGCATATGTTTTTAAAGATGAAGTGTTTGTAATAATTTGAGGTTTCATAGAACATCGCATAAATGTGCTTATCACTAGAAGTGCAAAAAGCGCTGAATGTGAAAATAATTTGTAATCAAAAAGGAGCAAAATTTATGACTGCCATACAAAAATATGCACTTAATTATTATACTAATTGCCAAAAAAGCAAGAGAAGCAAAAGGTGGCTCAACTAAATAGCAAATGAGTAAGGTTTGGGCATCAAAAATAAAAACCTTTTGAAAAAAAAAAACAACATTATTTAGGCTTACCCTGTGATGGGTGTATTATGAATTGAGTCAATAATAGTAATTGATACATTCTATATTTAAACAAAAGAATAAGGGGTAAATTCTGTTACAACATGTTAGATGGTACTAGGCTTATTTGCTTATTCTACTGTTTCTTCCTTATTTTCATTCTCCATTCTTAGGCTGTGTATGTAAGCATATTTTTATTGATCACTCTGTTTTTGTTTTCCAGGCAGAATCTAGATTGAAAGCTATCAGCGCATCATTTCGTCTCAAGAAACCAGATAAGTATGTGTTTACATGTTTAAAAAAGTTCCTTGTCTCATGCTTATTAACTGCAAAAGAGTTTTGTTAGCTGATATTCTGAAACGATTTTTTCAGCTTCAACCTGCTGAAATAAGTGATGAGGCTTTGCCATCAGCATAAGGCCAGGCCAGCCTGCCACAATTGTGCAATCTGACTACAGTCTATACTTGTTGGGCATTTCTTTTTTTTAGCTCACACCTGAGCTAGCTCAGGGTGAGCTTTTTAGGATCGTTGAATGTCCGTTCGTCTGTCGTCCGTCCCACACTTTGTTCGTGAACACTCTAGCGGTCACCTTTTTGCCTCAATCATCATCAAACTTTGTCAGGATGCTTATCTAGTTGATAGCTCGGATGAGTCTGAACATGGGTCATCATTTCGGATTATAAAAACTTAGGTCACAGGAGCTAAAAATAGAAACCTTGTTAACACTCTAGCGGTCACATTTTTGCCTCAATCATCATTAATCTTGGTCAGGATACTTGTCTAAGTGATACCTCGGATGAGTTTCGAACATTGGTCATCTCCAATGAAAAACTAGGTCACCAGAGCTAAAAATAAAAAACCTTGTTAACACTCTTGTGGACACATTTTTGCCTCAATCATCATCAAACTTGGTCAGGATGCTTATCTAGTTGATAGCTCATATGAGTTTGAACATGGGGTCATCTTGGATGAAAAACTAGGTCACCAGAGCTAAAAAATAGAAAAACCTTGTTAACACTCTAGTGGTTCACATTTTTTACCTCAATCATTATCAAACTAGGTCAGGATGCTTTTCTAGGTGATAGCTTGGATGAGTTTGAACATGGGTCGTCTCGGATTAAAAACTAGGTCACAGGACCTTTAAATAGAAAAACCTTGTTAACACTTTAGCGGTCACATTTTTGCCTCAATCATCATAAAACTTTGTCAGGATGCTTGTCTAGGTGATAGCTCGGATGAGTTCGAACATGGGTCATCTCGGATTAAAAACTAGGTCACCAGAGCTAAAAATAGAAAAACCTTGTTTGCACTCTAGCGGTCACATTTTTGCCTCAATCATCATAAAACTTTGTCAGGATGCTTGTCTAGGTGATAGCTCAGATGAGTTCGAACATGGGTCATCTCGGATGAAAAGCTAGGTCACAGGAGCTAAAAGTAGAAAAATCTTGTTAACACTCTAGTGGCTACTGTTTTGATCCAAATATCCTGTAAATTGGTCTGAAAGTTTGTTTTGATGATTTCTAGGTCAAGTTCGAATATGGGTCACCTGGGTAAAAACTAGGTCACACTGCTCAAATATGGATAATTCTTGTTAACACTCTAGTGTTCACATATTTGACTCATCTGTCATGAAAACTTGGTCAGAATGCTTGTTCGGATGAGTTTGATGGGTCAGGTGAGTGATCTAGGACCATCATGGCATTCTGTTTCATTTTGATATCAAAATCTCATAAAGTTTGAATGGACTGGTCCAAATTTTACTTGTTTACAGGAAATTACATAAATTACAGGTATTTCAATATCAAAATGTTATGATAATTACGTTGATTTTCTTTTACTGAAAAGCAGGATGGCATGGCTGTATTATCAGGGGGACAGAGTTAATAATCTCAACTCAAGATTTGTTTTAGGTAAACTTGTGCAGGCCTCCATAGTTTTTGATAACCATGGCATTTATATTTTTACTTTTAAAACTGTGTAACCTTAACTGGCTAGAGTGTTAAATTGATACATTGACTTTGTTGTTGGTGCATATTTCACTCATTCATTATTAATAATGTCACTAATTTCAGACGATTTGAAGAAGTAAAGAATTACAGTGGAGAACTACAGAGTAACATAGCCAATCTTCTTAAAGTTCGAGCTGTAAGTCTATTTTTTCTCAGTACTTTTTTAAGTGTCAAGTCGTAGTGGTCCTGCACTGTTTTTTTCCCTAGCATTAAACCAAAGCTACATAGTTGTATTTAAGAAATAATATATCCCAAACTGTGATTTTATCGCTCAATAACATCACTGTTTGGAGTTCGGATGTGAGGAATTATATCACGAGGGCCTAGCCCGAGTGATATAATGATGCGCATCCGATCAACAAACAGTGCTGTTATCTTGTGATAAAATCACCGACTTGGATATATTATTTTGATTCTAACACGACATCAACACATAAATGCTGCCGTATCTGATATTAACCTAAATTGCGCCTGATTTGTTTACATACTTATTTTCAGCGTGTCACATTTTAGTGGTTACGTCATGTGTATAATGATTACGTCACATGTCTAAATATAGAACGTCAAACTGTGATATTATTGCATAATAACACACACTTTCGGTTCTTCTATGTTCAATGGGGAAAAATGCGGGTCGTGTTAGAATAAACTATATTGTATACTAACATTCATGACATGAAACATGTAGACTTATTGTGGTCTCTGAAAAAGGGTCTGTTTAAGATTTTCTAAATTTGAAACATGTCTTTGATTTTCCCCAAGTGTCTTGAGATGTCTTGTATGCAATATTAAAATTGGATTTTTTTTCCACCTCATAATAAAATGCTTATATCAACAAATTTCTAATCATGGTTAGTCAAGAGTATATCAAGAATAGATTTAAAAAAATGTGTGTATTATAGAGGATGGCTGATCATCAGTATGGTATACATAAACTACATGCAAACTATCATCGAGTATTCAATGAATGGAGCGGAATAGAGAAAGATATGTCAGAACCTCTACAGAGTGCTGGGCATTATATGAATGTGTAAGTATTGCAGGGCAGTATATAAATGTACAAGTATTTCAGGGGATTGTATAAATATATAAGTATTGCCAGGCATTGTATTATTTTGTAAGCATTGCAGGACATTATACGAATCTATAGCTGCAATGTACTATAAAAATAAGAATTGCATGGCATTTTATAAATATGTATTGCAGGGCATTATATGAATGTGCCTTTTTTGCATGGAATTATATAAATATGAAGTATTTCGTGTTATTAAATACATGTGCAAGTATTGCAGGGCATTATATAAATGTGCAAGTATTGCATGGCATCATATGAATAAACAAGTATTGCAAGGAATGATATGAATGTGAAAGTATTGCAGGGTATTATAGGAATGTGTAAATATTGCAGGGAATGATAAGAATGTGCAAGTATTTCAAGACATTATAGGATTAAGAGGTTAATACACGGCAGGAGAGGGCCGGAAGGTGATAATCGGCCCGCAAAATGAATAATGGACCCGAGGGCTTTAGCCCGAGGGCCATTATTCATTCAGGGCCGATTATCACCTTCCGGCCCTACTCTGACGTGTATTAATGTCTTTAATACACTTGGTAGATCTAATAGTAGCATTTTTTTTAAAAAAAAAAAAAAAACAACAAAATACTGTGAAGTTCTTTCGTTGAAAATCTTGTCTACAGTACTCTTCTACTGTTCTGTACAGAGATGTTTAGAGTCTACTGTTTGTGTGTTCAAAGCAGTAGAATCTAGAAGCAAGTTTTATTTTCATTTTTTTTTTTCGTAATGAATTTGTCGTATTATTTCTTCAAATTTCAATAGTAACAAAAATGTGTTTGTACTAAATACGCTTAAGCTCTCATAATTAAAATAAAGCGATTCGTGCTGACAACCTACTTTCACTTTTACAGTTAACTGTTTGATGACGTAAAATATGACGTCATTGTTTCAGTTTATGAACGTGCACATGTTCTGCGGGCTGATAACTAGTTCTCGGCCCCGGGCCGCAAACTCATAATAGGTCACGTGACACTCATAATCAGTTGAAATCATAGGCAATTTTGTTACTATATATAGTAACAAGTGTATTAATGTGTAAGTATTGCAGGGCTTTATATGAATTTGCAAGTATTCATGGGCATTATATGACTGTGTAAGTGCATGTATGCTATAATTGTATTATTTTATTTCCTCATACCAAGGCCATAGTACTTGTTTCCTCAAAGCAGTCTAAAGTTAGATATGAGCTAATAATGAGGGTTTTAATTTTTTTTCACAGTGATTCACAGTCTATTGATGCTATATTAGAGGAGGAAGAACAATATGCAGATCAGTTGAAGGAGTATATGGCATTTGGTGAATCTCTCAGGTTAGTTTACTTTATTCTTTGATCATCTCCTTTGGTAGCATTATTTGTTTGTTATGCTTATGTTATAATTGGTTGATACACTTGTTACTATATACAGTAACATAATTCCCCTGATTTCAATTGTTTGTGAATGTCACATGACTGATTACGAGTTTGCCGCCTGGGGTATACTGCAGATTGAATTGATATTATCAGGCTTAGTATTATAGCCTTACCATGCTAAATTTCTTAATTGGACTTGTCCATCTTTCAGTCTTCAGTTCTTCACTCTAACAAAAACATGTATTCTTCCCATGAAAGGAAGAAACTACAAATTAGAGGTACACATCTATGCATGTTGAAATGTTAAAAGACCTTTCATTATGTTCTGAACTGGGAATATACTCTGCTTTACAACAGTCCATACCCTTTGTATTGGAGAATTTTAGCATGGTGACCCTTTGGAAAGTAAAAGAAATAATCAGAACCTATTTAAACACGTGAATGGTTCTGTTAATAAAAAAAAAAGCCATGCAATTTAAGCCTAAAAGTTGAGTTTTGAGAATTTTCACAGTTTGGGGAATTGTCTTTAAATTGGGGATTTTATGCGAAATTTATTATTGAGATCCATAATAAAGCTGTTTATTTCTATTAATGAACAGGTCAGTATGTAGGAAGTATGAATGTATGCAGTATGACCATGAAAGAGCCGAGGATAGTCTTGCTAGTAAATCCAGTCAAAAAGAAATGCTGGTATGTCAAGTGTTCATATTTGAGCCGTGTCACGACAAAACCAACATAATGGGTTTGCGACCAGCATGGATCCAGACCAGCCTGCGCATCCGCGCAGTCTGATCAGGATCCATGCTGTTCGCTATCAGTTTCTCTATTTGTAATTGTGTTTGTCAGCGAACATAATGGATCCTGATCAGACTGCGCAGATGCGCAGGCTGGTCTGGATTCATGCTGGGGGCAAACCCATTATGTTGGTTTTGTCATGACACGGCTCATTTGTTTTCTAGAGATTGTGCATGCCAGTATATGCATTATTTCTGTGACAAGCATGCATTAAACAAAAAAAGTAGAACCAAAGACATTTTGTATGAATCCCACTCGTGACAGAATTAAATGTCAAGGCACCAACTCTTTCTTAACCACCAAGCACAACCCCCTGCTTAAGGTTATGTTTAATAATCAAGAAGGGATAAAATTATGGTTAATGTTCTGAACAAATTCTATATAAGTAAGCGCCATATTTGTTTTTCAAAGAATTCTGCTTTTAGTTATTTACAATTCCTAAACAACAAAAATTCATCTTTCGAAACAATCTGTGCCAAGTTAATTTCCTTATAATTTCCTTTGATATGCATTACATATATGTTAACTTGTTTTAGAACAATAACTTTTTTTTTGTATTTCACATACTGATTATTGACATCAGGTTACATTTTAAGTTTTAAGAAAAAAGCGTCAAGAGGAGACATAAATGAGCCGTGTCATGACAAAACCAACATAATGGGTTTGCGACCAGCATGGATCCAGACCAGCCTGCGCATCCGCGCAGTCTGATCAGGATCCATGCTGTTCGCTTACAACTCTATAACAATTAGAGAAACTGATAGCGAACAGCATGGATCCTGATCAGACTGCGTGGATGCGCAGGCTGGTCTGGTTCCATGTTGGTCGCAAACCCATTATGTTGGTTTTGTCATGACACGGCTCAAATAATGTTAAAATTTGTTTTGATAATTTGATTATTGTTGTATGTAAGGCTCAGGGGAAGACTGCAGGAGGATTTAGCCTAAGTGGAATGAAGAAAGCTCTGTTTGGTAACGACACACAGGAGCAACGGGAACTAAAGTTGAAACATTTAGATGAACAAATCAAACTTACAGAACAAGAACTGGCGCAAATTAATGAAGAAACACAGTAAGTTGTTCATCTTGTCATGAAAGAATTTTCTATTTTATCTATTCTACTGTCAGTGTTTTTTATCACTTTTGGGGGAAGAGGGTCGGTGCCCTTTGGAAGAGGGGGGGGGGGGATGCAAGAGGAGGGGGGATTTTATTTGTTTATTTATTTCGTTTATATTGTTTTCTTTCCGGTGGAAAAAGGGAGCAGCTGTTGCAACACAAAGTTTAAAATATGTTGCTTTCTCTTAATATAATGGAGCTAAAATATCAACGTGTCGCATGTTAAACTTGTTGGGATGCCAGGAGTAGCTCCCCTTACCTACCCGTGAACGATTTGTAAACAACCTTGCTTAACAGTAAGTCTTACAGGCATAAAATAAAACAAATTTCGGCAGTTAGTTGCAAAAAAAAAAATATGAATATTCATTGCATGCAGATTCGGGCTTCTGTATAGGGGGAAATTTCAGCTTTGAGGGGGAAAAAACATACTATTTTGAGGAGGGAATGGGGCCAAATTTCGCCAAATATTGTGGTGAAAAAAACACTGACTTTATATGAATTGTTTGTGGTACAATCAGTCAGAGTTGTCTATCAAACTCCAAGATTAGTAGGTCATTTTGTAAAGGTGGCTCTATAGTTTTCTTGCATAAAAGAATAATTCCTTGGGTAATTCGAAACTACAGTAGTGAGAGGCTAGTGCTTTGAAGTTATTGAACTTAACTACTCAATCACAGATGCCCCTGAAACTACTAGTTTTAATACTTTTATTATATATATTACTTATTTATATAACACTTGACATATTTTAAAAAATGCTTAAGAATGTAAATATACCACTGGTACAGCAAATGATGCGGGGTATAGTTGTCATGTGGACACATTTCTAGTTACATACATCCTTTATATATTGACTGATATGCATTACAATATATTGACAAATGTTCAGGATTTGGAAGTATCCTCAGCCTTTAGCAATATGCAGGTTTTCCTCTGAACTTAATAGTATGATGTAATCAACTTTCAGAAAATTTGTAGAAGCTGCCTTGCGAGATATTGACAGATTTAAAAGACAGAAAACAAAAGACCTGAAGGAGATTTTTACAAATTACGCCATCATGCAGATCAAACAGTGTAAAAAGGTAAGAAAGATTTATCACATACCTGTGCCGCTTTTGTGATTCTGTAAAAATGGTATGGCACGGATGTGCTGATATTTTGATGTGACGTCACTTGCATTATACATACATGTAGTGTAAAGACAATTACAGTTTAAGCAGGCCAATAGAAGAATGATTGTTTAACAGCAAAAATGGTTTTTCCTTGGGTATGCGATAAATAGAATATTGCATTTGAATAGGTTCAATACTTAATTTATTGAAATCGTTGAATGATATATTATTATGCTAGCCAGAGGCTTGCACAATATAATTTTTATTCAACTCCTTCTATAAATTCAGTATTGAAACAACACTCATTCATTTATTACATGACATGAATAAAGACTGAAGATTACTCTTAAATAATGTTATTACCATAGATTTAATGAATACGATACGGCAGCAATGCAATCCTGGTTACTTACAAGATCTTGAGGCATTTATAAAATGTTATGACAAACATTTGTTTTGCACAATGGTAGAGGATTGGAAGGTCCATGTCAAAGATAGCGCTGATTACTTATGCATGTCAAAAGCTATATAGAGCTTATGTTATACTGTTATATATTTTTTGAGTCTAAATAAATATTGGCTTTACTTGATTTGACTTTGGGGATTCTCTTAAGCTGGTTATATTGACTTACCCTTTGACTTTGGGGATTCTCTTAAGCTGGTTATATTGACTTACCCAAGTGCATACTTTGAAACTTTTTTCTTTTTAAGGTGCAAACACTCACATGTTATTTGTTGTATAGAATTGTATTTCATATATAAACTTTATGTTTTTTTCAGGGCATTGCAATCTGGACAAGTGCTAAAGATTGTTTTACTAAAATGTAAGAAATAATTAATATGAGTGAGAAATTACAGCAGACTTAAGGGATGTTATGGATGGTAACAGTTTAAAGGCAGTTTTGTTTTGTACACCATGTGTATACATAATTACGTGTTGTGTGCATACACAACTCAGTTACATAGAATTTGATTTGCAGTGTTTACAGAAGTGTACACGTGACATGTATGCATATATACGTGTTGTGTGCATACACAACTCAGTTACATAGAATTTGATTTGCAGTGTTTACAGAAGTGTACACGTGACATGTATGCATATATATGTAGTTGTATTGTTCGACATTCATGATATATCAACATTCATGACATTGACATTCATGATATTGACATTCATGATATTGACATAGACAGTCGGGACGGATTTAGCTGTGTAGCACAGTGTGTTCATTATGTGTAAACAGTTATCTCAGGGCTGCCGATTTTCCGCGGATCCACGGAAATCCGCGGATTTCGTGAGCTCCTGGGTCATTTTTGAGATCGATGTAAATTCGACAAAGACAATAAATTCATTCGTCATATTTAATACAGTACCCAAAAACCGGCACGCTTCGGCTTTTATCGTTACACTAGCCGCCTATGGTACGTCTGTAAGCGCTTTTCTCATTGGTCTTATTGAGTCTTTTCCGGCATTCTATTTTAGAATAACCAATCAAATTACAGTTTACATTGTCGCTCTTGTCTGTTGTCAAAATGCGTCAAAATGTCGGATATTTGTCAAATTTAGAGTCCAGGAAATTGATTTTAGGGCATACCAAATCATCAGAATCCAGGAGCTTTCGGGGGCTTTGCCCCCTGAACCCCCACCAGGGCTCTGCCCTGGACCTGCAAAGGGGGCTTGCGCAGCCCCCTTGACCCCCCGCGTATTTTCCGCTGATTTTGAAATTTGCTGTTGGCAGCCCTGTTATCTTGTATGGCATATACAATTATGTTGCCTTCAGCCGTGTTGTTCTCTGTGTACAGTATTATTGTATGCAGTTTTTGTCTTAAGTTAGTACACCAAATCATAAAATATATTGTAAAATTTGTGATAGCATAGTGCAATTAGAACCTACTCATTTAGAAGCTAGTCAAAACCACCATGTTGGATAAAAGTTCGGAATAACTATTTTTTATGTTTTTAATGTGTAATAGGTTAAGGGGAAATGTACAGCAAAAATTTAAAGGGGCTCAACTGAGGTTTTTTGACATAACAAGACAGGATTTTTTTTTTTTTTTGATACAGAAACTATTTTTTCATTGTTCAAAATGTCCTTAATTCTTTAAAAAGAGTTAAACACTAAATAAAATAATGGCACTATATATTGTTTTTTTTTAGTTTATATTTATTTATTATCATCTGTTTTATTTGCCATGTTGATGTAAGATTTTCTAATTAACATTTTTAGGCTTTGGATGCCCTCAAACTAGTTCCTTTAATATGCATTGTTTGGCGGATGAATCTAGGAATGTTTAATACACTTGTAGTTGTGTGTTTTATTGTAATCTGGATAAACTGTAGCCATTTTTGTCAATTACACAGATCAAGTAGCTCTCTTCTGAATCTAATAACATGTAATTAAATGTGATTAACTGTGTGAAATATTTTACATGCCTTGAATGAAATTTATGTAAGGAAACATAATGTATATGATCAAATTATTAATAGGATAATTTTGCTACCCTGGCGTCTAAAGAATTTAAGGATCATGATAGGATGTCACTACACAAAGCCCCATAACAAGTATTGATTTTGACTAAATTTTAGCCCTTTTTGAACTCAGAAAAAATCTTGGTTAAAGTTTTGCATACAACATCAATCTTTATAACTACTGAAATTTTCACTTTTTATGCCCCCGCCATGTAATGGCCGGGGCATATAGTGTTACCCTGTTCCGTCATTCCGTCATTCTGTCATTCCGTCATCATCAGTTTCCGTTCATTATCTTAAGAACGGTTGCACACATTCAACTCAAATTTGACATATGGATATGTCATGAGAAAATACAGGTCAAGTTCGAATTTGGTCATGGTTCGATGATTTTTGGCAGAGTTATGCCCCTTTTACTTTGAAAATAATATGAAATTTCAGTTTCCGTTCATTATCTCCCCAACGGTACAAAACATTCAACTCAAACTTTACATATGGATATGTCATGAGAAAATACAGGTCAAGTTCGAATTTGGTCATGGTTCGATGATTTTTGGCAGAGTTATGCCCCTTTACTTTGAAAATAATATGAAATTTTCAGTTTCCGTTCATTATCTCCCCAAACGTACAACACATTCCACTCAAACTTGACATATGAATGCGTCAAAGGAATGCGCAGGTCAAGTTCAAATTTGGTCATGGTTCAATGATTTTTGGCAGAGTTATGCCCCTTTCACTTTGAAAGTAATATGAAATTTTCAGTTTCCGTTTATTATCTCCCCAATGGTACAACACATTCAACTCAAATTTGACATATGGATATGTTTTTGGAATGCCCAGGCCAAGTTCGAATTTGGTCATGGTTCAATGATTTTTGGCAGAGTAATGCCCCTTTCACTTTGAAAATAATATGAAATTTACAGTTTCTGTTCATTATCTACCCAACAGTGTTACATATTCAACTTAAATTTGACATATTGATATGTCAAAGGAATGGGCAGGTCAAGTTGGAATTTGGTCATGGTTTGATGATTTTTTGGCAGAGTTATGTCCCTTTCACTTTGAAAATAACATAGATACATCTTAGGAATAAGCAGTTTAAGTTTGAATTTGGTCGTGGTTCAATGATTTTAGACAAACTTATCTTTCCTGAATGTTGGAAAAATTTTGAACTTTCAGTTTCAGCACTCATACTTTTAGCCATTATTTTGGCTACAAATATGCAATATGCTATTTTTAAAAGGTTAAGACTGAATAATTTCAGTGCCTTGAACATTGTATGAAAATGGTTTGTGTTAACATTGAAAAGTTTTAAGGGCTTTGAACTTAAAATGAAAAAAATAATTAATGCACCATCTGAAATTTTGGCTGCATGCGGGGGCATCCGTGGCATGATGACACATTTCTAGTATGTTAATGAAATCTTCCTCTAATTAATTCTTACATTATCAAGGCTGTTATTTTACTTTCAAGCACAGAGAATATTGTAGCACGCTCCCATTTTCATTTCTTGTTTTTCTCATTCTTTTAAAGTGATTTAATTTTCTTTTGCAGTTTAGATGTTTATTTTGTATATTTTGAAAATATCCATTTCAAATTGTGTCACAGTTTTTCATTGCTTTTTTGCTTTAAACACATTTCACCCCGTGTTCAAAATGGACCATTGTATATTAACATTCCAGAGTTGTTTAGTTAACTGCATTTGTTTATTGCAGAGGTTGTTTCAGCTCCATAGTCCTGTAACTTTTTTACATTTTCCCCCTGTATAGATTGAATTTGATAATTTGCAGTGAAACAAAGGACCCCCCTCTTATACAAGTAGTTTATTTATTTCACTTTTGAAATCAATTGATAAATTTATTGTCATGCATACAAGTAATTGGACTTACTATAATATATACAGATTTACTATAATTAATCATTTTGAAACTTCTAATTTTGAAAAAAAGTTTGTTAATCCATTAGACTATGAAGATATAATAATACAATATATTAATACTTACCAGACATATGTTCTTTGATAAAAGGAATAGGCCAAGTACAAGTTCTATTTGGCTCCTGTTGCTCGTTAAGTTTAATCCTTCATTAAAATGTACTGATGTAATGTATAAATACATCATTGAATGTGTTTTTACTTCTTAAATATTCAGTTGCTTTAAGATTATCTCCCTTTAATTTACTTACGGATGAAAAAATTGTTGTACATATATTTATTTGTGATTTATTTTTAAATGTTGCTGCATTTTGTACATATAGTATTGTATTTATAAATATGATTCACAGTTTTATATGTAAAGTTGTAAAAAAAACATGAGAAATTAAAAGGGAAATGTGCAATACATACAAGCTGGTTTGTTGTTATTATGTGTAGCTCATCAGAGTACAAAAAGTGCTCAGAAGTTAGCTTTTCATGATGGCGTGATATATGTTGTGTACTGCTCTGTGTGTGATTATCTGAAATTTCTTTTAATGCTCTTAAACCACATGGTACATAATGACCACACTATCTTCTCTTTAACCACATTGTACATTTTGACCACACTATCTGCTCTTTAACCACATGATAGATTTTGACCACATTAACTTCTCTTTAAAGCTGTAAAGTCACCATATGACCTATATTATGTTTGTGTGACATAAATTCCAACCCCCACAAAAAAGTTAAAATCCAGTGCCAGAGGTCAAATTAGCCTACCCTTTGGGTCATTTAGTTTACATATATTTATATCAGAAAACACGATACATTTAAATTTTCTTGTGCAAAATCACATTGACTAATGTAGCTTTACTAAGTTGATCACCACAAAAGTTATTTGAATCAGGTCCCAAACTCCAGTGTAACATATGTTACATCGACTTTATTTGGAAACTAGACATGAAGTTATTTGGGATGCACATATACCGGGTACCCTCCTATATAAATCACTGATCTATGGGTCAAAATTGGACCAACTCTAGGGTCAGGTAATTCACATAGACATAATATAGGTACCACAATTAAATCTGCTTGCATGAAACTATATGATTAAGAGCTTAGATATTTGGCATAGCATTGCCTAGTTAACCACTTAAGTAATCCCGACCCTGGGGGTCACATGACCCTGCCTTAACAGTAGACGTCAATTAAGTCAGATATTGGTAAAGAAAATAAAGTTTCTATCAGAAAATGTAGCAAAATGTATTTTTAACTTGGACCTAGATACCACATTAAAGGACATAGGTTACCTACATGTTACATATCTACAGAAATCTGGCAAAAATAAAGGGTTTACGAGGACTTTGGAGAGTGATGGAAGGATGGAGATACAAGCCAGTAAGTACCAGAATAATACATATAATAATGAACCCTCGACAATTTTTTTTCATGGAATATAGAAATTTATAAACTTTTAAAGTGCCAATGTCTTCCTGTCTCAATAACTTCATATGCATGTGTTTATGATTTGACCTTTGTTGACCCTTTATTATTTATACACATATAAAGTTTGAACACTTAAATTTTGCTCACTTGATAGGGAGAGCATTAAATTTGGAGTCGCAGATTCTATCGTTGCCCCAAATCAAATTTCAAGATTAACCCGGACATTACCTTTTAGGGCTTTATGATCATTTGTCTCTCACTGCTGATTCAGATATAATGTGGGATAAGTAGTCAGTAACTTGAAAAGAATTTGTATACAGCTAAGTTATCCAGAAATGTTGGTTTGGTAGAATGACCCCTCCAGATATGTTAAAATCAAACAGAAAATTCAGTCAGCATTGTCTAGTAACTAAATACAACAATATCACTTGTATTAAAACTAGAGCTTTTTATATACTGCAGATATGAAATTAAGAAAAATATTTCTAATCAAACAACAGATTTTCTGATGTTATCAAAGTGTGTAAGGCTATATATCTGGAACCTGTAGGTCCAAAGTTACAGTTTAACTTTTGGGGGAAAAAGAATCGTTTCAAAATTACCATTTGAAACAAAATATGTTTGTATTATTTTGTATATATACTCTTAAGGGAGAAATTAATGGTCCATACAAAAATCATTATTAAATGGTTAATGACTGCTTGAAATAGAGGTGTAATATTTTGTTATGCGACAAATTTTATGTCACAACTCGGTTTCATCAATCCGACCATAAAATTATCGAGACAACATAATTTTACTGTTTATTATTTCATGAGATAATTGCTTTATACCATTTAAATGAACACATTCAAATGAAAACAAACTTCAAGTACAGAGCCATTTTTCATATCTGAGCATTTCTATTGTATGTCATTGCTTATATAATTCATTCACAACAGTAAAAATATACCTAACAAGACATACTGTTGTTTTTTTTTGCAAATGAATCTTAGTTCTTCTAAATTTAGTTTCGCTTAACAAAATTTATTTGTACCGCAATTCACTGGTTATTTTCAATATTTTATCTAACATTGTCCAGCACTTTACAAACATTCTACACATTAACAGTTTGAGATGACTATATAACAGAAATTGTAATGAATTAGTTTCAGGGCTCATCCGGAAGGGCGATTCAGGCGAAAACTTCGCCGTGTATATTTCAATTTCGCTCTTCCGATTGATCAAAGAGAAGTCAACATCGCCGATAAAATCTTAATTCCCAAATAGTAATTACTTAGCGATGTAAAGAGCAGAGATTATATCCGCCCATATGACGACCGCTAATTATCATTATCCAATCAGAGCGTCGCTTTATACTACCCTTCTACCTGTAAGCGAAGCGATAGACCGCCTACTCTAAACAGTAAATAATGAGAGCATCGGCCCGAAACGGTATAATTGTGTGATAGTTTTGCGAGTTTAAAACGGGATTTGGCGATAATTATAAATTGTTTTTTCCCCGATTATCTTACCACGTGCAATCTTCCCTAATTGATATACACGATGCACTTCGATGGTGGGTTTTTAACCCGAGTAAAGGCGATGTGCAATGGATTTTTCACGGCTATCACAAAACTGTTAGTCAATTAAAAATAATCAATTTCATTAATGATCAGCGACCAGATTAAAACCTTAATCATAGTTTTGAATGATTTCAGTATGTTAACATCAATTTTTACTGTAAAATTGTTATGTCGCTCACGTCATGGCTACAAGGCGAAATGCCGAAACCGAGCAGTAAGAAAGTAACTGATTCTGATAGTTACACCTACGCGAAAATTTAAGAGAAGCCAATTCGCAAAAATCTAAGATTATCTTGCGATTGAGTAGGGGTGTTTGGCATTGTTCTCTTTGTAGAAACGCCAAATTTGACACAGTTTACGCACGTGGCAAGACATCCCGGCTTAACTACATATCGGTCGTATATCATGTAACGTGTATATAACAACAACATTTGTCTGGAAAGAAGTGTTCTTATTGTTTCAAAATAAATTCGTAAATATGACGCTCAGATTAAGATTTATCAATATTGTAAATTTTAAAAAGCATTATTTATAAAGATATTACCGAATTTAACATTTCATGAAAATAAAGGGAGGTAATTAGAAATTAATTTTCTACAATTTCTCAGTCAAATTTTTCAATAAGAAATGAATGTATGTAATTTTAGTGATCAAATATAATGTGCACAAATGTGTGCAGTACATATTTTACATATTCTTTGATGTTTGAAAATTGTTTTATAAGAATAATTATATGCATATAAATCTGACATTACAACATGCAGGAATTTGAGAGAAATTTCTGTTACTAGAACAGAATAGAACAGATATTATTAATCAATATCCAATGTGACTTCATCTTCTTTTAAGGTGAAGAAAGTAAAGTAAAAAATATGAAATTGATTTTATCATCATATCTTTTCTTACACATTATTATCAACAAATGTACATGAAAATATATAAACACATATTTTGAGAAAGCTTATAAATAGCTGATCAATAGATATCAAAAATAATTTTTTATATTCATATTTGCAGCTCAAAAACATTTAGATGCCATTGCCTGATCTACTACTAAATAATTAATCTACTTTTAATTAATACTACTATTAATTAATCTTATATTAATTAATAAACTGGAGAAATGTTGATGTTCATTGTGTTTATATTATAATTAAAGGATGTATAGCCATGCATGTTAATGCATACACATTGGGTTGTTTCCCTTCTCCCTAATTTTCGCGAGGTCGTCACTTCTCCCTAAAATTTCCCCCCAGGATGAGCCCTGAGTTTGGTCCCTAATTTGATGTGCTTGTAGAGAGAGAAATGCAATCTTTTCCTCACATTCTGTAAACCAAAAATAAATTAAAATAAAATATTTCAAACTGCATTCAAAGAACATGCCCAAGTCTCACTGAGTTTTACGCGAAAGAACAACAGACTTTCAGAAATTTTCCTCATGATTTCCTAAATTCCTTGATAGGTAGTCTTGACTTCCTAAAATAAATCCTTAGTGGAAGGCAGCCCTGTAATAAATTCCAACTTTTTTTTTCTGATTTCAATTGAGTGACCAAGCCTTTTCCTTCAAGCAGAATGGTTCATTACTGAAATCAAGACTTGCTTCATGGCTTTTTTTTTAAAATGTGATGTTTTCTTTCCCAAAGGTTGGATTACTTTTTTTCATAATTAAAACCGTCCATCCGTTACCATGCAAGACCTGCAGTTTGGCCTGATACCAGTATAGAGCCAGACCGGCATGCATGTCTGTGCAATCTGAATAGGCCCTGTTGCTTGTTCAATTTTTGTATATTTATCTCCTTTACTTTTCAAATGGAAATTTTTAAAATTAAAAATCATGGCAAATGTATAACACATATTCAGTAGTTTAAGGAATAAGATAAGATCTTGTCTGGTTCCAATTATCACTTGTCAGTATCCTAATTTTGCATTTAGATGAGTTTTTCCATCACCAGATTGGTTTTCAGGAGGTAACCATACAGCATAATCTGGATCATCAGTTGTGTAACTATCGCCAGATTTCAGTTTTTTACTGCCTGTTGAAGAATGTTTTGATTTTCTCTTGTTACTATTTCTTGTCTTATTCTCACTATCGTTTTCATCATTCTCACCATCTTCCGCATTTTCCTCCTGTAATTTTTCAAGCACAGCAGCCAATGGTAGCGATGGTCCTTTGAGTCTTGATTTTGAATGAACTTCTTGTTTCACTGGGTCTAATTGTTTTGTTTTTTCCTGAGCAGGTGGCAATGCTGGCCCCTTAACTTTTGGCTGATCATCAGAATGTTTCTTTTCAACTTTAATTTCAACATCATTTTTACTGCTGATTTCACTCACTTTCTCATTTGCCTTAATGACTGCCCCACTATTACTAGCAAGGTTATCATTCTTATCATCATCATCTTCTTCTTCACTTTCATCGGATTTTTCTTCAGTTTTTTCAGGTTTAGGCCCTGGCACTATCTTTTTGTGAGTTTTTCCATGCAATGGCCCTTTCATTTTTCCAACACTTGCTATCACACTTGGTTTTTTGACATCTGTCTTCAGATTTTTATTTGAAATTTCAGGAAGTGAAGCAGGTTTAGCAATGTTAACAAGCTTTCTTACCTTTTGTTCTTCTTGTTTCAATTCAAGTAACTGTCGTTTAAACTTCATTTTTGTCTTTGTATCCATCATTCCCGACTTTATAGCACTCATGTATGCATCTAATGCATCAACATCATCACTTTCCATAGCAGCTGCCTCTGCCTTTGCTTGTTCAAGTTTTGCTTCAATCTCCTCAATTTCAGCAATAATACTCTTATGTTTTTCTACAAGAGTATCGTAAGTTTCAGTTACTTTATCAGTCTTGCCAACTTTATTTTTCCTTAGCTCTCTCTTTTTCTCAATGGCTCCAGTTCTATCTAAATACACATCTTCATCGCTGTCATAAAAGTCATCATCTTCCCAATTTCTCTGCTTTCGTTTCCGACTCTCCTGGGCTGATTTTCTTAATTCCCCATGCCTATCTAATATCCTGCATGCTTCAAGAGCGCATGCTATGACAGCCTCACGTTTCTTTCCAGACACTATAACCTCAGCCACTATTGGTTCACCAGAAGGAGCATCAATTGGAAGTTCAACCGTACATTTCCATTTACCAAACCCAGCCTCGTGAAACTCATATTCGGGTAGTTCTAAACCCTCTCTCTCGAAATAACCATTTAGTGACTTCTTTGGATCATTTATATACAAAGCCTCATTTTCAGGCTCTATGGCAGCAAATGGATTTTCAGCGTTCTCATCTTCCTCTTCTATTTCATCGTCATCGATACCCCACGAGCATCCCTGAAACAATATTAAAATAGTCAATCTTTTGAAATATACAACTAATATATCTCGGCTTGACAGTGAAAAAATGAGCATAATGTCACTTTAATACACACAACTTATATCTTCCAAACTTCATAATAAATTACAATTAATAATATAGAAATCAATGAATGCAAACGGAAGGTTTTTTTGTGCAACACTGAGTTATGACCAAGAGACCTATTTCAGACATACTGAAATTCAAGACATTCATTAAAACAAGAGGGCCATGATGGCCCAAAGTCGCTCACCTGTATATAGGCCCCTGGAGTGGGGCCAGTTTAAACCCCTGGGCTTTTATTTGAACAAACTTGGTTGTATATGTATGCATGTATATATATAGTATATATACAGTCCATGAGTTAACTTATTTAATTATTTGCCAACCGGTTTCTCTTATGATCATCAGGGCAAATGTGACGTCGTAGTAACGACGACGTTTTTGTGTACACATGTGTACGCATAATCTAAAAATAGTAACGTCATTATATAGTATTAAGTTTTGGATTAAAAACATCAATAAAATAGCGTTCTTTAGATAACCTAGCTGAAACGTTTTTACTGTGAAATTTATAAAATGGGAAAATACAAAATTTCATATATATATATATATACATATACATACATACAAATATATATATATAAATATATAAAATTATAATGTTTAAGAAATAACAAACTCTATATGTAAAATCGGTAGCGCTTTCAATGCTTTAGAACTTCGCATATCTTCAGCCGAAACTTTAATAAACATATAAACAAATGACGTAACGTCATGAAAAAAAACGGGAACGTTAAATAATAACGTATTTCCCGGCAAACACAATATGGTTATTTATACTGAAAAATAGAGAATACGGACATTGAGCATAATCCGTACAATCTGGCAGTGAATTAATGACATTTATTAAAGGGAGGTAATAAAATTCACAAGTTAATGATTTTATGGCCACAAATTGTATGGTAATTAACAATTTTTACTCAATAAATATTGGTAAATAAACGAACAATTGGACTGAATAAAATCGCAATCGTTTCTTTCATAATTAAAAATGAAGAGATTGTAATAAATATGAAGTACTTGTATATATATACCTTGTTAAATGATTATTAACAATGAGCATTTAGCTGTGGTTTTAATAACTTGATTAAAAGTTTTTCTTTTTCTTCTCTAAAATTATCACTTTCGATTAATATCTTATATAGAGGGAAAATGCTAAATTTACCTCCTGAACAATTATGTAAATGTTTATTTACTTGTAACATTCTGAGTTCTTCAGTGTTTGTTTGTTGCCTATGTAAAGTCATACGTTTACATAATTCATTTTTTGTTTGGCCAATATAAAACTGTTTACAGTTGTCACAAATTATTGAATAAATCACATTTTTTGAAACACAGTTCATACTTTGTTTTATCTTAAATGTCTTACTGTTACAAAATTGTATTTCATTTCCTTCTATTAGAGAAGGACATGTCTTACACCTACTCCTGTTGCATTTAGAAACTGTTGTTACAGTATTATTTGTCATGTCGAACTTTGAAGAGGTTAAGATGTTTTGAAGATTTTTTGCTTGTCTTTTACTGTTTATAATGCGCTTCTTTTCTAAAACACTGTTCATCTTTTTCACTTTTTCGTAACACATTCTCACAAGATCGAATTGCTTGGGAAAATATTGGTATTTTTTGGGATTAAATGTTGTTACACATGGGATAACGTTGTACTTGTTGTTAGCTGTTATGTTTTCTTCAGTTTTGATGGGACCTTTCAATTTGGCTTTAGATATTCCGTATGTAATAATTTCATCTGGGTAATTCTGATTTTTAAGTCTTGTAGTTAGTTCTGAGAGGCGCTTTTCTTGCAGTGTTTCTCCTCTTACTATAGTTATGATTCTTGACGCAAGGTTGAAAGGAATGTTTAACTTTGTATGTTTCGGATGACACGATTTAAAGTTGAGGTAGTTGTATGTGTCCGTCGGTTTACTGTAGATATCTGTTGTTATATGTGTTCCAGATTTCATAACTAATACATCTAAAAATGGCATGCTCTTTTCACTTTTTATTCATCGTAAATTGAATACAGGGGTGTAAATTGTTTATTTCTCTTAATAAATCATCTGTGTTGATATTTTTCCCGACTATTAAAAACAATCATCCAAAAATCTCTTCCAGTTCATTTTAATGTAGTTTGAAAAGTCGTTTCCATGTATTGTTGATATTCTTTCGTAGAATGTTTTCTCTAGATATCCAAGTACCAAAGTAGCATACGTTGGGGCGACTTTAGTACCCATAGCTGTTCCTTTATTCTGGATATAATATTTGCCGTCAAAATAAAATACGTTATTCTTTAGGATAAGTTGCAGTGATTTCAAAATAAATTGGTGTTGGAATCTTGTATCTATTTTATCGGGAAAATTTTCTATCCAGTGTTGAATTGCCTGTAAGCCCAGATCATGTGGAATGTTTGTATACAAATTTACGACATCAAAGGTAACTAAAATGGAATCTTCTTCTACATTTTCCGGTAAGTAATTCAGGAAATCTAAGTCATCTCTAATGAAACTTGGAACTTGTCTGCATAATGGTTTTAATATGAGGTCTAAAAAGTGGCTAAGTCTCTGTGTAACACTGTTAGGTCCCCTACAATAGGCCTAAACTTTAAATCATCTGGTGCAGAAACTTTAATGTATTCAGATTTATTATTATTAATTGCCTCTTCAATTTTCCTACTTTTGTGAATTTTAGGTAATCCATAAAAAAAGCTGGTTGAACTTTCAAAATTAGTCAAATATGTAGATTCCTCCTTTACCAATCCTTTACCGTGTTTATTTACAATATCATTTAATTCTTTCCGTGTCCTTAAATCTGCGTTTATATCTGTCTCTGAATAGTAACTTTCATCACTCAACATTTTTCAAAATGTGATCTCTATAGTAGTTATTGTCCATACAAACTACAGCATCGCCTTTATCTGCTTCTTTTATGATTAATGATTTTTTTGATAATATACTTTTCAATGCTGATCTATCTTTCTTCATTAAATTAGAATGAACATCAGATTTATTTTCAAGTGGGATTTCCTTTAATGATTCAATAGCCTCTTCTAAAAAGATATCTTTACTTTTAGGAGGTTTCCATCCAGTTTTATTTCGTACTAAGGGTATATCGTTTCTATCATTATCCTTATCATCTTCATGGAAAAACTCACTCAGCCTTAATCTTCGACAAAATTCTTTTATATCAGTTTGTAATTCTGTTTTATTTTCCATTGGAGTAGGAGTAAACTTAAGCCCCTTGCTAAGTAATTTTACTTCACTTTCTGATAATTCTATAGTGGAAGAAAGATTTATTACCTTTGGGTGTATTTCTGAGCTTTTAGCAGTATCTTTGTTATTTAAAATAGATCCATGGTTTACATCACTTCCTTCCGAATCGTTTCTTCGCTGTTCACGAGTTTGTTTACATTTGCATTCCCTCCTCCATCTTTGACGAATGGAGTTAGTCCTAAAAAAGACTTTCTTGCATTTTTTCCAATATACGTTGTTCCATTTTCTGTATAAGGTCTTGATGGTAGATTTTGACGGTTATTGTATCGATATTGATATCCATTTGTTTCATTTCCTCTGTTATAATGACTATATCCCCTCTGAGTGTTGTTTCTTCTTTCATCATTGTAGCTATTAAATTGTTTATATCTTCTTTCGTGGGCCTTCACTGCTGAACTAGTATTTATTGATCTATTTGTATTTTCAGGTCGGATGATTGTTGAAAATCTAGTTTGTTGAATTCTTTCATTTCTATTATTTCTTTCTTGCTTTCTTCCTTTTTTGTTTCTTTGCCTATCTTCTGTTAGAAATATATCGTTACCATACTTGATTTCATAATCATTTAACCAACCTTTTTTCTTTTCCCAAATATTCAATGACTTTTCTTCTTCATTCCTACATTCATTGATCCACATTTGTTGAAGTTTTTCACATATTACTCCATTTGACTTCTTTTTGAAGACAACGATCATCTCCTTGTCTATTTCATCAAATGTATCTTTGTATCTTTTTGCTTTATTTTTCATTATTTTGATTTCAGATTCGAACAATCGTACAGCTGTATCTCTTCTTATTGCTTTGTCATCTGCATGTTCATTTGGGATAAGCTTTGGTCGGTATTTTCTTGGTAGAATAGGTATTGTCTTGCACTTCCAACTATCGTAGATATCTGCCGTGTTTTGAAATTTTATATTGTTCCAATATGCTTGTTTTCTTTCATTAAGTGAGGTTTTCCATAGTTTTATCATAGATTTTCTTATTTTCCAGGATTGACTACTAATACTTGTGTCAACTTTAAATCGTGTCATCCGAAACATACAAAGTTAAACATTCCTTTCAACCTTGCGTCAAGAATCATAACTATAGTAAGAGGAGAAACACTGCAAGAAAAGCGCCTCTCAGAACTAACTACAAGACTTAAAAATCAGAATTACCCAGATGAAATTATTACATACGGAATATCTAAAGCCAAATTGAAAGGTCCCATCAAAACTGAAGAAAACATAACAGCTAACAACAAGTACAACGTTATCCCATGTGTAACAACATTTAATCCCAAAAATACCAATATTTCCCAAGCAATTCGATCTTGTGTGTGAGAATGTGTTACGAAAAAGTGAAAAGATGAACAGTGTTTTAGAAAAGAAGCGCATTATAAACAGTAAAAGACAAGCAAAAAATCTTCAAAACATCTTAACCTCTTCAAGTTCGACATGACAAATAATACTGTAACAACAGTTTCTAAATGCAACAGGAGTAGGTGTAAGACATGTCCTTCTCTAATAGAAGGAAATGAAATACAATTTTGTAACAGTAAGACATTTAAGATAAAACAAAGTATGAACTGTGTTTCAAAAAATGTGATTTATTCAATAATTTGTGACAACTGTAAACAGTTTTATATTGGCCAAACAAAAATGAATTATGTAAACGTATGACTTTACATAGGCAACAAACAAACACTGAAGAACTCAGAATGTTACAAGTAAATAAACATTTACATAATTGTTCAGGAGGTAAATTTAGCATTTTCCCTCTATATAAGATATTAATCGAAAGTGATAATTTTAGAGAAGAAAAAGAAAAACTTTTAATCAAGTTATTAAAACCACAGCTAAATGCTCATTGTTAATAATCATTTAACAAGGTATATATATACAAGTACTTCATATTTATTACAATCTCTTCATTTTTAATTATGAAAGAAACGATTGCGATTTTTATTCAGTCCAATTGTTCGTTTATTTACCAATATTTATTGAGTAAAAATTGTTAATTACCATACAATTTGTGGCCATAAAATCATTAACTTGTGAATTTTATTACCTCCCTTTAATAAATGTCATTAATTCACTGCCAGATTGTACGGATTATGCTCAATGTCCGTATTCTCTATTTTTCAGTATAAATAACCATATTGTGTTTGCCGGGAAATACGTTATTATTTAACGTTCCCGTTTTTTTTCATGACGTTACGTCATTTGTTTATATGTTTATTAAAGTTTCGGCTGAAGATATGCGAAGTTCTAAAGCATTGAAAGCGCTACCGATTTTACATATAGAGTTTGTTATTTCTTAAACATTATAATTTTATATATTTCAACACTGCACAAGGAACATTCATCACGTTTTAATATATATAAATATATATATATACACATTTATATATATATATATATATATATATATATTTATATATATATATATATATAAATATTAAATATATATGTATATATATAATATGTATATATCGAAAAAAAAAAGTCAAGCTAATGAATGACCCCCGGGGCGGGGCCAATTTTGACCCCAGGGCTTTTATTTGAACAAACTTGGTAGACACCCATGAGAACATGTTTCATGCTAAATATCTTAGCTCTAGCTCTTTGAGTTCTTTAAAGAAAATTTTTTAAGTTTTAACTATATGCATATAGGGAAAATCAAAGACACCCTGGGGCGGGGCCAATTTTGACCCTAGGGCTTTTATTTGAACAAACTTGGTAGACACTCACTAGAAGATGTTTCATGCTTTATATCTAAACACTAGCTATCTGGGTTTTTTCAAAGAAGATTTTTAAGTTTTTGCTATACACAGTCATATAAGGAAAATCAATGACCCCCGGGGCGGGGCCAATTTTGACCCTAGGGCTTTGATTTGAACAAACTTTGTAGACACTCACTAGAAGATGTTTCATGCTTAATAGCTAAACTCCAGCTATTTGGGTTTTTTTAAAGAAGATTTTTTAAGTTTTTGCTATACACATATAAGGAAAATCAATGACCCCCTGGGGCGGGGCCAATTTTGACCCTAGGGCTTTGATTTGAACAAACTTGGTAGGCACTCATTAGAAGATGTTTCATGCCAAATATCTAAGCTCTAGCTCTTACGGTTTTTTAGAAGAAGATTTTTTAAGTTTTTCTTATTGGTTGCCATGGCAACCAGAGTTTTTAATGGAATTTAAATTTTTGAACAACTTTGAAAGGGGTCCACCTAAGGATCATTTCTGTAAAGTTTGGTTGCAATTGGCCATGTAGTTTAGGAGGAGATGTTGTTTGAAAAGTTTGACGCCATTTTTTGAAGGACGCACGACGCACGACGGACGCAGAGTGATGACAAAAGCTCACCTTTGAGCACTTCGTGCTCAGGTGAGCTAAAAATATCAAATCTACTCACAAATTATTAAAATTCTCATGCTTTTTATCATGCAAAACTTAACAGTAAATGATAAATTTCTCTTTAAACAACGCAAATTACCTTTGACTCCTCCCTCTTTTTCAGTAGCTCCGCCTTCCTTTCTGCTTCCTCTATCTCAGCCTGCCTTAGTAAGTCAGCCTCCTTCTTCTGCTTTTCCCGCTGTTCTTTCATTTCTGCTGGTGACATTTCAGATTCCTCTTCCCTATCAGTATCTGGGCCTTGTAAAATAAACAGCCTGCAATATACATGTACAATAATCTTATCAAAAAAATCGATATCAAATATTTACTGTTAATAAATAGACAGTATCCCTGGCATAAAGAAATTAGTGTTAATATTAGTGTTCATGAATTATAATAAAGACAATGATCTAACATACAAGCTTTGAAATTCTAATCTATGTTTACATTAAATATAACCTCTTTGACTATCAATCAACAGAAAGAGACCAGCCTCTGCCACTGCCCACCAGTATAGAACCATGCCAGCCTGTTCCTCTGTGCAATCTAACCAGGCTTTATACTGTTGGTACCTCAATTTTTGTATTTTGGTATTTTTGAAATCCCTTAAAACTTTGAATGTACTGTTCCAGATTCAAATCTGGACCAATCCATTACACAAATTAAGGAGGTTAAAGTTAATATTTAATTAAATTACAATCATAAAACTTGGATTTCAATTATCAATATGTCAAACTGGATCCTATCATTCAAGAGTAGTATCTAAAATACTCCTATAAAATGGAAGAAATAATATTGGTAAAACTTCTTTATTATTGAAATTCAAATTTTGATGTAATTTTTTTTGTATAACAAACTATCAAAGCTACTACTTTGAATATAATTTCTATGTTTAAATGTTAATTACCTTGATGATCCACCAAACTTTAGGACATAGTCCACATGAATCTGATGAAACTTCTGTGATGGCACTTTATTCTTGTTTATCCAAGTACCGTGTGTGCTGTCCAGATCATATAAGTACCATCCTGCAGGATATTGTTCGGATTTCCCGCCGGAATATTGTATCACTGCATGATGACGTGAAAGTGAAGGATGCTCCATGGGTATGTCACAGCTTGGTAACCTTCCAATAACATGAAATGTTTTACTTGTTAAGTCTATATTATCAATCACTGAACCATTTTTTATTACCTCTAAGGCAAATTTTTCCTCACATAGAGCACCCCATGCTGGTTCTTTATAAGGTATAGAAGCATTTGCTTGTTTAAACTGTTCAGCAGGTGACAAAACAACTGTTTTCTTTGATGGGAATTTCTCATGGGTGTTTTCATATTTTGTGTGTGTTGTTTTTGTAATTTCTTTGAGATCCTTTTCAGACTTCACGGGTTCAGTTTCAACTTGTTCAGTAGCTTCTGATTTCTTTACGTCATCACCTTCATTTTTCTGTGGCAACGTTCCAGGACTTTTGAAAATAACTGATGCATCTGTATTTGACTGAACTTTTTTCTTACTTGGGATAACAAAACTTGGAGTTTTAAATGTTTCAACTTTGTTACCACTTTCTTTCATCTCAGGACCTTCTGCTTTCACGTCAGGTGCAGCACCAACATTCTGGTCATTTCCTGAATCACTATTCTGGTCTGCCACTTTGTCAATATTTTGGTCCATGATCCTACTCTCTGGACTTCTTCAGCAGAACATCAAAGATTATATGGCCAGGTCTGAAGTAAATGTTTAGGATAAAAATTATTAGCTAATCTTAAGAATATGAACCTTAAAAGTTAAATAAACTTAAATAAGTTTAATATCTTTTGTTATTTACTTACTGACTAACAATGTATTTGAGACAAACACAAGATGCTCTTGTAATTGGTTATTTGACAAATAAGGTCAAAAAGAAAGTAATTAATTCATAGGAATGGTGAAAAGGTGGTTGTGAGTGAAACCTGGGCCTGGCAGTATGGGGGATTTCGAGACATTTCGGCCCCAAGACGTATCAGCCCCAAATTACCCAAGACGTTTTGGCCCCGGACGTTTCGGCCCTTAGCCAAATCGGCCCCATATTTAGTACACGAACACTGAAACAGAATTTTATCTGTTTATCATCAACCAGTATCATTTTTTTAATTTGAACGATTAAAAAGCAAGACACAGAACAATACATGAAACAAACATTTATTAAATTAATAGTAAGTGACAAGTTTCAGCAATACAACACATAACAGTAGAAAAATTATACTTGTACTATCATGAAATAAAACAAAATAAAACAGACATTTTTTTATAAATAACATTTTTATACATTTAAAGTGACAGATTTTCAATCAGAATGTTACGATAATAACTGAGAATATTTTGAAGAAATTATAATAAATCATAATTTAAAAAAAAATCTTTGATATTACTAACCGCTTATTTGCAATAAGCTATAAATGATTAATTTGTTGCACCTTGAAAAAAAAACATATATCTAAATAGTTAAATAGCTGTTAAAGGGAAAATAGAGATCAAAAGATAATGATTTTTTAGGTATAATTATAATTAACTTAGTTAATCAAAATGTTTTTGCAGTTTGTCAACTGTATTGTAAATTAAGGATTAAGTGTCTTTTATTGTTACACATTGAAAAAAATAGCATTTATCTCAATAGTTAAATTAAGAGATCGATAAATCTATAAAGGATTATTAATACACCAATAAACACTTGATTTGATTTTTTTTTTAGACCGGGCGGTCAAGGATAACCTACGAAAGTGCAAGCACTTATTTCCAGTAGGATCCTTACCTCAGCAGACACTAGAGACAGCTATGAGATACAAGGAAATCCGGGAACCAGTCCCTAGCTCTTATTGAATAGATTCCTTGGTTCTTTTACATGCCCAGTGTATAGCACTGATACATGCGAAGATTACCTGGGTTTCGTACCAGTAAACCTCTAGTAAAAATCCCAAGGGTGTTACCCAGGATCGAACCCGGAACCTCATGAGTGACAGTCAGTGGTCTAACCAACTGAGCTATCGCGCCACCTCTATTTCCCCAACTAGCAGACGACAGGCTTTTCTTATCAGTAGGTTTTCCAGTAAAGATAACTGTTTGCGTATCTCACTATATAAATCGTATGTAAAATGGGCTGACATATGGTAGGTTTAACAGTTAATTTAAATACTTGGTGTCAAAAGATATGTAAAATTATATACTGTGACAAAGCTAAGATCCTAAGCTTTCCATTGATGTAATAATTTTTAAAATCGGACATTTAAGCACAACAAACTAGCGGTTTAAAAATGGCTTAATTTGTATTGTTTTAGCGTATGAGATACCAATTTTACTCGAAGATAAGGGAATCAACTCGTATTTTTTCACTCGATATACCTTGGTTATTTACCTAGTTCATATGAAAAGTGTTTATGGGTGTATTAAGGATTTTAGTGTCTTAATTAATTATTTGTGTGCCATCAATCAATCAATATACTACAATTTTTAACAATTTTTATGTATAAAAATTGCTTTAAGACTTTAATAAAACTGTTATAAAAAAGGGCCGAAACGTCTCCTGGAAAAGGGCCGAAACTTTTAGGGGCTGATTTTTGCAAGGAAGTGGCTAGCCGTACGGGCCCGTACGGCTAGTCAAAAGTTCTAGCCGTACGTGAGTCACGTACGTCAAGCAAGGACACACTGTATTGGCTAGTCGTACGGCATTTTCAAAATTAGATGGAAGTCGAAATGCATATGTTATTTTATGACTTTAAGCGAGGATTTTAACCAAGAAACAGCAATTGTCTTCGTATTTTTACTTTTTTGAGATAAATCGCCTTGTTGGCTACAGTAAAAAAGTACGAATATCGATCTTTGTCATCTCAAGACGTTGAGAAAAAATAGCGTTTGGTCGCAGTTAAATAACATCAATTGAAATAGTTTACAAAATTTTGATGATTATCCGTTTTTGTTTAATTAAGTTTAATTTTCGACACCTTTAGTTTTAAATGAAAAATTTTTGTTGTTGGGCTCTGATAATAATATTGCGTCGATTACCGACGGTATAAGTTTGCCCATCATTAAGGAAAGTTTGCATGTACCGTGAAATGCATTTTAAAATCATATTGTCAATCCCTGGTTAGGCTTATTAATTGATTGTGCTTTTATGTTCGATATTTATCTACTGTTTTTTTTTTGAAAATTATACAATTATTTTTGCTTTTCACCATGGTTTTTTGTTTTTTCAATGTTCTTTTTATATATTCCACTCCGATTATTATTTATTCGATCCATGTGCTTAATTAACAAAAATTCACCTTTCATCAGTCTATGCGAAAGACTTCTGAGTTTTACTGGACAGTAGGTCCTGTAAACTGAAAATTTTTACTGGACCAAACATGATTTTACTGGACCGAAAAAAACCTGATTGGTATAGCATTTTGAGTCATTTGAGTGTCAGCAGTCAAAAAATTTGTGTACAAAAAGAAAATTGTATTATCAACAAAGTGAAGTTATCTTTTTTCACCACAATCAAAATGTAAACATAAATATTGTTATACATGTATTCAATGGATTTTGCGATTTAAACTTTAATTTCATCCAGCAAAATGAGAGGGTAAATTTCAGCAAAAGTCTGGCATATGTAAACAGAATTATATATATCGGTAATTTAGTGAAGTTGACAGATTAATTGTTCAATGATTTTGGTACCTTCACAGAATAGTTTAATTTTTGTCAACATCTTGGACGATCTTTCATAGCTAAACACCAGTTGAGCACACATGTAATTTAACATTTCTCTAAGTCTGTGGATTAAAGACGTAAATTGTTCCAATTAATTCACTGACGCTTTCATCTGTGTAAACAAACTAATAGCGGTTGACCTTTCACATCTGGGCCGCTTATGTAATTTACATGGCCGCTTATTGACTTTTACTTGTATTAGTTGTCGGATATTTTTATCTTACGTTGTTACATTAAAGTTTGCATTATGAGAATGCATAACAGTTGACAAGCATTGCACGAGCTTATATTGTGTAATGACAACATTTTGATTTGTTTTGAATGTAGGTAAATGATCGGCCTTTGCAAAATGTTGAATGTAAGGTTTTTATAAATCCTTAATTTTTACCGGACCGTCGGGCCGTCAAAACATATATTTTTATCGGACCTTCTGATTTTTTACAGGTCAGGGCCGACGGTCCGACGGTCTTTCAGAAAGACTGTTTCATACAAATAAAACAACAAATCATAATCATGAGGCACAAAATAACATGAATAACATAATTATGCATGTTCGACTTCCATATAATTTTGAAAAGTGCTGTGCGGCTAGACAATACAGTAAGTCCTGGCTAGTCGTACGTGACTCACGTACGGCTAGAACTTTTAGCAACTTCCTTTTTGCAAAGGGACCAATTTGGTTTGGGCCGAAACGTCCTGTTGGGATATTGAGTATCGCGAAAACTAATTACAAAATTATTTTTCTTACATTTTACAATCATACTTTGCCTTCTTTTGTTGAAAACAAGGAAAAATATCAATTTAATACTTTATGCTAAATTATAAACAAGATAATCTTAGTTTTAAGCATCTAATTTAATTATATTTAGTCTCTTACCTTTTTTGTCAGCTTCTAAGGGAGATAATCCGAGAGTGTACAGTAAGGTCAGATTGCTATATTTTAGGTCAGATTATGTCATTTAAAACAACAAGATTCAAAGGAACATCAGCTAGTTATAGAATGAAAATATTATGTTATTATTCAAGAAACTATTTAGAGGGACTCCACTGAGGTTTAAAAGCTTTAAAACATAACATTTGAATTTCTTACATAAATGAGCTGGGGCACTTTAAACCACAGGTACCCAGCACAGTGTTGGGATAGTGTAAAAAGAAAAGAAAAAAGAAATTCCAGAAAAATATAATAATATTATATATATAGTATATTTTTTACACTGTGCAGGGTCCATGTGATTTAAACATACATATATGTAAAAGATAGTTAAGAAATATACCGTGAAATAAATTGAAAATCGTATGTTTATGCTTCTCTTAGCCTGATTTGAGTGTAAACGCTTTTCATTTTGGGTCATTTTTTCACAATTTGAATAATTATTCTGAAAAAAACGAAGTGCGCGAATGATCTAAGATTTTGCACAAAGATTAGTGGTCTAAACCTACATCAAATGGTACATATATCTGAAAAAATATTTTCAGTGAGTCTCATCATGTCAACAAAACCTCAGTGGAGTCCCTTTAACACTGCATTGATTTCTCAAGAAAATGAACTGTTTCATAAGTCTATAGGATATTGTAGTGAACCTTTAGCAAGATTGTACAAATTATAGCACTGGGGCCAAAAGTTGGCCCCGCCCCGGGGGATTTTGATTTTCAATATGTACATATAGTAAAAACTCAAAAAATCTTATTGACTGAATGTACAAGGCTTAGAGCTTTAATATTTGTTATATGGTATCATCTATAGGTACTCTACCAAAGCTGTTCAAATTTTGCCTCTAGTGTCAAAACTAGCCCCGCCCCGGGGGTCATAGGTTTTCCTTACATGTATACGGTAAAAACTTTAAAAAATCATCTTCTCTAATTGACAAAGGCTAGAGGTTAGACATTTTGCATTAAACATTGTGTAGTGAACCTCTAGCAAGATTATTCAAATTAAAGCCCTTCGGTCAAAATTGGTCCCGCCCCTGGGGATCATTGATTTTCAGTCACTATGTCATAAAGTAAAAAAAATAAAAATCTTATTATCTGAAGGTACTAATCTGATAATAACAGAATAGGTAAGTGATCTATGCATTATGGCAATCTGTATAGAAGCAAAAAAAAATGTGTTCCTACATTACTATTTAGTGTTGTATTTATGCGGTGGCATGGCATTTTTTACAAATGCAATCTTGTTTCTCTATGACATTCACCAAATATCTCAATGGTTGTTTAAGAAAGACACCTGCACATGTCTTAAAATGTATGAAAACTAAAAGTAAAATGGCGAATTAATTTACTTTGCTCTTAATCTGAATAAAAAAAAAAAAAAATTCTCAGTCGTATATGTATCATTCCGATAAAAATACAATAAGAAAGTGAAAGTAAATCTCCTGGCAGATGCGTACTTGAGACTGTTTATATGTCTAATACCTTGGGATAATGAGAACCACGGAAATATGAGGCACCAGTATTCAAATGTCATTCTTGTGATCAGCAGAAAGTTTCATTCAAAATGGGAGTTATCACCTTTGGGGACATTTTTTTTTTAAAAAAAAAAAGAGGGGTTTAATGGAATAGAAAGCACGCTGGAACAGCTAGAGGATAACAGTAAAACTCACACAACCCACGGTGATAGGCCTTTCTAGTAATTCTTATCTGATATAAAACACAGTGTTGGAGTCAAGAGAACACATGTAGTAAAGCTCACACAAACCACAGTGATAGGCTTTTTAGAGGGTTTTATGGGATAGAAAGCACGCTGTTACAGCTCGAGGATAACAGTTAAACTCACACAACCCACGGTGAAAGATCTTTCTAGTACTGACTTTTATCTGATATACAACAAGGTGGTTGAGCCAAGGGAAATCACAGTAAAGCTCTCACAACCCACGTTGATAGGCCATTTAGAGGGTTTTATCGGATAGAAAGCACGCTGATACAGTCATGGGATAGCAGTAAAGCTCATACAACCTACGGTGATATGCCTTTCTAGTGGTTCTTATATATCTGATATTAAACACGGTGGTATACAGTCAAGGGGACACAGTAAAGCTCACACAACCCACGGTGATAGGCCTTTTTAGACTCTTTTTATGGAATAAAAGCACGCTTGTACAGGCTGAGGATAGCAGTAAATTAGCTCACGCAACCCACCGTGAAAGGTCTTTCTAGTGGATCTGTTTTAATACAAAAAAGGTGGTTGAGCCAAGGAAATACAGTAAAGCCCAGTAAGCTGATACAGCCAGAGCTGACACAACCCACGGTGATAGGATTTTCTTGTGGTTCTTATCATAATGAAATAAAACACGGTGGTAGAGGTAAGGGAACACACTGAAGCTCACACAACCCACGGTGATAGGCCTTTTAAAGAGTTTTATAGGATAGAAAGCACGCCGGTACAGCCAGAGGATAACAGTAAAGCTCAAACAGCCCGCGGTGATAGGCTTTTCTTGTGGTTCTTATCTGATATAAAACACGGTGGTAGAGCCAATGGAATACGTATTGACGTTCTGATAGGATAGATCAGACATGAAGACCCTTTACATTAACCGATCAGAATATGAATAATTAAACACTGCCAAACAAACGTTTTACGTATAACAATGTTGCATGATGCCGTAGTAAGATTTCATTATTCCATTCATATTATCTAAGACCAGTTTTTCTTTTTAAAAACAGTAAGAATACGATTCCCAGTCTTTCTCTTTGAAAGTCTTTCACCAAAACCCATATATTTTGTTAGCTTATCTTAAACATTGTTGTTTGATTTGATGCGGATTAGATGGGGGAGGGGAGAAAAAAAGAACAACATCAAAACTTAGGAAAAATTATTTTATTCATTGCACATTAAGATGATTGCATATGAACATTCATATTAACAAACAAATACATGTACACAACTTATTTTCGACTTTCATTCGACATTTCTCTTTTGAATATTTTCAATTTAGCATATTATAGTAAAGCTATAAGTTAAAATAGTTTTTGGTTTGTGATTTTTATTAAAGGAATTTTGTAAGTTTAAAACAGTTCTTTGTTTTTATATTTAGAAATATATGAAACTATGTTATTTGGAACATAACTCTCACATCTTTATATATAATATATTTATAATTTAATATAATCTTCACAAGATACCAATAAATATCTAAAAAATAAAATAACACAATGAAATAATAAGAATTATGCTTGTAACAGAGTAGTGATTTCCCTTCGCACCGGAGCCGTCTTTTGCTAACCACGCCTCCGCGTTACGATTATTACACATGTCTGAACGGCATTTATGCTCGCATGCAGGATAAACTCCATCCATGTTACAGCAACTTTCGCCCGAGCAAATCGCATCCGGAGTCAGGCATGATCTAGATACTGATCTTATTGTTTTCCTGTCTGAAAATAAATAAATAAGTTACTTGATTAGATTTGCACGCTACTTTAACACATTACTGGCCTGTCTTCTAATTGTATTGGTTGGACCCAGTGTATTAATTTGTGGAACTGCATGGTAGACTGCCAGTCTCATCCAAACTGTTATAAGACAAACCTATTCTAGCAGTAAACTAGCCCTATATATGATTAGGAATTTGCCCGTATTTATTATGTCATATTGCTCTCCCGTCGGTTAGTCCGTAGACCAAATGGTTTCCGATCAATAACTAAAGAATGCATAGGCACTAGGAACTTCAAACTTGGTTTGGGAATTGTTCATGACTAGAATATGACCATTATTGTTTTGGGGTCTTAAGGTCAAAGTCAAATTGACCATGCATGTCAAAATGGTTTCCAATTAATAACTCAACAACTCATGGGACTTTGACCTTCAAACTTCACAGGCGCATTGGTCTTTGCCTGTAGATGACCCCTATTTATTTTGGAATCAAGTTGTCAAAGGCCAAAGTCATATTGACCTTGTAGGTAAAAACGGTTTCCGATTAATAACTTGACAACCCATGGGTCTTTGGCACTCAAACTGCACGGGTGCATTGGTCTTGGCCAGTAAATGATCCCTATTGATTATGGGGTAAAGGGGTCAAATATCAAGTCACATGGACCTTGTAGGTAAAAAACGGTTTCCGATCACTAACTTGACAACCCATGGGTCTTTGACCCTCAATTGCATAGCTGCATTGGTCTTGGCCAGTAGTTGACCCCTATTGATTTGGGGTCATGGGGTCAAAGGTTAAGGTCACATTGATCTTGTGTATCAAAACAATTTCCTATCAATATCTCGACAACCCATGGACCCTTGACCTTCAAACTTCACAAATGCATTGCTTTTTGGTCAGAAGATGACCTCAATGGATTTTTTGGGTCAGAGGTCAAGATAACATTGACGTTATAATCAAAATTAGTTTCTGATCAATATCTTAACAACTCATTCATGTCTTTTATACCTTCAAACTTAAACAGGTGCATTGATCTTAGCGAGTAGATAACCCCTATTGATTTAAGGGCCAAAGTCACATTGACCTTGTACGTAAAAACGGTTTCCGACTAATAACTCAACCATTCAAGTTGCCTTGGCTGATATTTTCATTAAATTAAAAATGCTTATGGTATGCACTTTTCAAGATCTAATGTAATATAACAAAGGAGGCCCACACGATTAAAAAATATGCATATATTATTTGGTAAGATTTGTGATAACTTTGTCATAGAATTGCTGCACACAACCTTTACGGTCACAATGATCTATTGACTTGTCATGACCAGTAGATAACCCCATTGATATTTTGATCACTAGGTCAAAAGTCAGTCACAATTACCTGGTCACATGACTAATTGGCTGCCGATAGGGGGCATACATGTTTTACAAACATATCTTGTTGATGATTGTATTAAATAAAGGCAGACGATGTCACATTTAGAATTTTAAATTTTTTCGTTACACCTCAGCATTTCACCGGAGTATTACGGAAAGGGACGAAAAGTTGCGCATGGGTTTGATTAAAATCTTACCTGGGTTAAGAGTTGCCCTGGTGGAGCACTGGTTTGGCGTGGAACAGCTGACATGTGGGAGACCTTTAGTCACATTCCATGGCTGGTTCACACACTCATAGTCGTACGTTGGATCTCCGGAAAGTGTGTACGAGCAGACATAACAATCAAATGTTTCTGTTGGAAAAAAAGTTTTTCATATAAGATTTTACACCGCACGTAACGCAATTGTGCAATTAAGTGGCTAAAACGAACACTGTCATAAGTAAATGGACCAATATCTTTTAATTGTACACCAAATTGGAAGAAATGAATTAGCGCATACGGTTGCTGAGACATTATACTTTAAAACTCATCAAAGATACATTTTGTATTTCCATGAAAATGTTTATTTTTCAAGATCATTCATGAAAATGACGACCTGACAAGCGTATTGATGGAGATTTTTTGTTTCGTTGATATCTTTAAATACAATAACATATATATATATAACTTTATGATTTTTATTTGTTTGGTTCTTCAGACCAAACAAATAATGGTAGCGAAATTTCAGAGCCTAATGCTGTTAATTGCAAATGCCTAAAGTAGTCCACTTTTTTGAAGCGGTTACTTCCCTTTATATGTACACTAACGCCGAAAAATTCAGGGGAGATCAATGCGTAAAGATTGTCGAATGACAGGCGCATTCATTTTCAAGCAAAGTAGTTCTCGAATGGTCAAAGATTTCTAATATTGTTTCATTCTTTATAGATATACATGCTTACAGTAAGCTCCATGATTATTTACATCTGTGATTAACGTCGAAATAATAAGAGTTACAAACCCTAATTTAGAATAATATGGTTTTCTTCAGGAGTTAACTTATTGTTTCACCGTGGCCGAGGAGTTTGCACGCTCGCTTATGAATCAAGAGGACTCGAGTTCAAATCCCAGTTGAGGCAACTCATTTTTTTAAAAAAAAAATTTAAGTCAAATAAACATTGAATTGACTATCAGTGCTGCAATTAGTCTTATAGCCAATTTACTACAGCTAATAAACACTGGAAAGTATTGGTGGCACTATACAAAAACAAATTGATTTATAATCTCACAACCTTTCTAATAAATTCAGCGCCTTCTGTGCTTTGATTATATTCGGCGTACCTGAGACACTTTCCAATCTGATCGTGTGTATATTACACTTAATTTAGCAGATAAAACGTAATTGAGACCATTTTAACAAGGTAACGCCGAATTCGTGAATGAAGTTCAAAAGCGACGGCGCTTAAATTATCTCAAATCTTATTTTACCAGCTTCCTACAATTGTTATTTGACAAATGAGCCGCGCCACGACAAAACCAACATAATGCGTTTGCGACCAGCATGGATCCAGACCAGCCTGCGCATCCGCGCAGTCTGATCAGGATCCATGCTATTCGCTTTCAGTTTCACTACTGGTAAAGAACAGCATGGATCCGGATCAGACCGCGCGGATGCACAGGCTAGTCTGGATGCATGCTGGTCGCAAACCCATTATGTTGGTTTTGTCATGGCACGGCTCAAATGTCTTAGGTATACAGAATATGAAAAGATAATGTGTTAAATGTACATATCAATTTGACGAAACACAAAGGTCACCTTCAAAACGGTAATCAGGTTGTCTTTCTAACGAATGATCTTAAAAAGTAAACATATTCATGAAAAAAAAATGTAATGCTGGTTAAAGTATAATGTCGTACATCCGTATGAGCTTATTTATTTCTTTAAATTAATTTAGAATAAAATATTTGGTTCGTTTACTTACTGAGTTATTCATTTAAGCAATAGCGTGGTATTTTATGTTATTTGCACATTCCTGTGTTACTGGATATGCACGGTGTTTTAAAACATTAATTTATTTTTCAAGGTACATCGTCATTTTTCTAAATTAGTGGGTCTCAGGTTTACAATTTAAGCCCGTATTAGTCACTATGGTGAACATCTTAAATACAAGTACTAATGTAATCATTTTTTCCCTTGTTGATCAATGATATTAATAAACTTTGTAAACTGTCATTAAGAGAGGGGCTCCCCAATTTTATACATAGTACAACTATTATTATACCTCATAAAATAATCAGTTTAAATATAAATCCTTTTCTTACAATAAATATATTTGAAGTACTTTACATTCTAAACATCACTAATTTTCTATACTTTTTAATGAAGAAAAAATAGAAATAGCTTTCAAGATATTGATTTACCGTAATTTTCATTAAAATTTAAATTATTTCTTCACTGAGCCCGCTCCTTAATTCCTCTCTAATTACGAATTTTCTAAACATGATAATTTCAATTGCAAAATATTACGAAAAGTTTAATTTGAAAACGAATCTGAATAGACTGAGTTTTGATATAACAGACAGATAATGCGAATTATATAACATACAAACAGACAAACAATAAAGTCAAGTAAGTTTTAAAATGATTTTGTTACCTGCTAAGATATGGTGGCATATCCCAAACAACAGTCCCAAAATAACGTGCGTCCTCATCATGTTGCGTTTAAGCCCCTTTATAAAGATGAATCACAGATTTTATATCTATTAGATCAGTTTTATTTAATCTTCCGTACACGATTTGATAATGTTAATTGTATAGATGTAAAAATAGTAACTTATCATAAACACAATAATTCAAAAAGATAACATTTACATGTAAACATAAATTAACCTCATGTATGTGAAAATATATAAACGTAATTTATGCATGACATACATGTATTAAATATTTAAACAAATACGTACAAATAACTATGCATTATACACCATACCGACTGTCATCAGTCAAGATGTATTGCCTGGAGGCGGTGTTCTTTGTTTAAATACCACAAAACCTTATTATATTGATGACGGTGATTCTTGCTAAGATAGTTATGTTAAATACTTTAAACTCCCGTCACCCCCTCCCCCACCCCACCCCTTAAAAACACAACAAACAAATAAACAAAAACGATAGAAAGAAGGAAGGAAAAGTTAGAAGAAAGAAAGAAAGATAGAAAGAAAGAAAGAAAGAAAGAAAGATAGAAAGAAAGAAAGAAAGAAAAAAGAAAAGAAAGAAAAGATCAAGAAAGAAAGAAAGAAGGTATTTTTAAAGTTTCTAAAGAAAGTATACATGTAAGCTGAAAGAGAACCGGCGCCGACATTATACAAAGAATATGCACATGAGTTCATCATTTCTCTGAAGACTTTAAAAAAATATTTAAAGTTTTACCCCGAGTTTACAATCGCAAATTCGAGCCAATTACACACCGTATTACCGGCGGCAGTGATGGCAGATCACTGCAGTGATGGCAGATATCGGAAAATTAACCGATCGATACAGGTAGGTTAAAATTTGGTTGGTTTTAATTATATTACACAATACGCCCATTTCAATTGTCCTATAAAATTATTGTTCCATAGAATGGAGATACTGTAAGGTAATTTTGGACTCGTTTTTTCCCGTTTTAAGACTTTTTTTGAGCAGGTTAAAAGTGACAGCCTTCCCCGGAAAAAACCCGTGAAAATGTTCTGTTTTCCTGTTCAAAAGATCTCAATTTAAATAAATGGCAGGATTTCCTTTATCAGCAAAAGACCGTTCTCCATTGGGGTAACCGCAACCAAATATCTACCCCCGTGAGGTCTTTTTTTTTGAAAGTTTTTTAGGCAGACGCTTCAATCTTGTCCGGTCGTAGAAAAAAGGGCGGGCCTGCCGTTGTAGGCAAGTACATATTATAAATGCCTGCCGTCGATGGCGAATACCTGAAAGCGCTAACAGATTTTTCTGACAAGAAAATCAAGTTCAAATCTTTTTTCCACAATTTCCTCCTTTTCTTTGCTCCTTTTAATCGGAATTAGACCGCAACTTCATTTAATAATATTTTCTCAAGATAGAAAAAGTTATTTTAATAACGGATATGCATTCGGAAAAAAGCTTTTTAGCAACCCTGCAGTTTTCAATAAAGGAGGGCCAAAAAAATTGGGACCCATAAATAAAAAATAACATGAAAAACTTTTATTTTTTTGATGTTAGAACTGTTTTTTAATAGTTTAGCCCTGTAATGTAATTTAAAGGCAAAACTACAACGCTTTAAAAAAACATGGGAAAAATTTAAAAAAAAATGAATCCACCCTTTTTCCGTTTTTCAAGAACTTTAAAATATAGGAAAATATTTGAAAATGCAATAATTTTACTTTCCCCTTTTACATTAACATACATTGGGTTTTTTATACCCTTATTTCCAGTTTTGGGGGTTAATAGTCTCCCCTTTTTTAAAATTAAATTTAATAAATTTGATCTTTCGCCGATTAAAATAAATTTCAAACCTTTTTTTTGTCATAAAAACGATTAACATTATTACCTCCCCGAAAAAAATGGTTTATATTGCCAGCAATCATGAATATCCCCTTTTACAGAACTACTTTCTGTAATATGTCCAATTGGCGTTATGTCTTAAAAAAAGGGAGTGCGCTGCTAAAACTTAAAATACCATAAAGTATTGTATGCATGTAATGACAGACACAACAGATCAAGCACACGTGCAATGAATATAGAAAAATGAAGTTTTTCCATGTTCATTTCTCTTATTTATAGTGCAATTTTGTCGTACTTAATCATCACTTTTATATTGTAACTGCATGTTGCTAAAAAGCTTTTTTCGATGCACATACTGCATTAATAACTTTTCTATCTTGAGAAAATATTAGAAATGATAGTTTAAACGTCTCAATTCCGACTAAAAAGGACGCAAAGAAAAAGAGGAATTGATAACAGATTGAACTTGATTTTCTGTCAGAATGTTAGCCACTTTCATGGTATTTTTGCCATCGACGGCAGCATTTATAATATGTATCTGCCTACAACGGCAGCATTTTTTCTTCGACCGGACAAGATTGAACATCTGTAAAACTTTCAAGAAAAGACTCACGGGGTAGATATTAGGCTTGCGTGACCCCAATGGATAAACGTCTATATTGATAACAGGAAATCCTGCCGTTAACTTAAAACTTGAGATATTTTGAACAGAAAACAGACATTTTTACGGATTTTTCCGAGGCTGTCACTTTTAACCTGCTCAAAAAAGTCTTAAAACAGGAAAAAAACGAGTCCAAAATTACCTTACAGTATCTCCATTCAATGGACAATAGTTTTATAGCAATGAAATGGGCCGTATTTGTGTAATATAATTAAACCAACCAAATTTATAACCTACCTGTATCGATCGGTAATTTTCAGATACCTGCCATCACTGCAGTGATCTGCCATCACTGCCGCCGGTAATACGGTGTGAATTAGACTACATGTATAACTGGTTATCGGTGAGGTGTTAGTTTCCCGTTTCAACGTTGAAACTAGCTGGGACCACGCTCGACTTTTTTCTTATTCCTTAAGACAAACACATTTGTGGAAGAAAATTATAGTTAAGAGTACAGCTAGAAAACATTTTCATTTCTCTTGTAAGAGAAAAATTCATATTTCATATTTGACCTTAATTGATGGTCAATGCCATTAGAAGGTGAAGTTCACGTTTGAATCAATAATCATATTAGTTTAGTCATAAGAATTCTTTTGTCCAAGAATGAATTAAATCCATAAATTAATAACAAAATTTATGACAATTGAAGCAAATTGTAATAATTTGACCTTGAAGGTAAATGTCAATTAAAATTCAAGGTCATATCAGGATAATTCAACATAACAGTTGTGCTATGTATGTCAGTATGAATCAAATACGTAAGAAAAAAAACAACAACAAAGTTACGACAATATAAGCAAAATTCAATAAATTGGCCTTAATTAATGAAATCTGCTTCAATGACCTGACACCAGAATTATTGTGAACAAGTATGAAGACAATACATTTATTATTTCTAAGTTGTAACCAATGACAGCGTAAAATTGAAATTACAATAATTTGACATTCAAGGTCAATGTCATTTATAGGTCAAGGTCAAATTGAGGTTGATCTTCATTAAGACAATGTTCGTAAGGCAGTTGTGACCAATTGTGAAGATAATCCATTTATAAATAACAAAAGTTATTGCCAATTATAGCAAAAATCTAGCAAAATTCAAACATTTTATCTTTAATTAAAGTCAATGTCATTTTAGTCAAGGTCAAGTCCTGTCTTGTCTGTGTTCTGTCTAAGTTTGAAGACAATCCATCAAGAAATATAAAAGACCAATGTTAAAGTTCTTGGACGGTTACGGTAACCGAACCGTAGCAATAGATCCAAATGTTTCTGGAGGCGTTTATTGGGATGAAAATGATTCAGAACATGTTGTTAAGGTGATTATTGAGGCGAATATTTATTATATAGTTTAAATATTGATAACACAACACTTTAATTGAGCAAATTATGTTATTGAAAATGATATCAATTTTATTTCATACATATACTAAAACATACATTTTAAATACGATACGAATACGATACATACGATTAAAATAGTTTTCATATGATATTTTTTGTGACGATCCGCCTCACGTAAACAAAATATTTAACTTTGTTTGTATGATATTTGTCGCTGATTGCATATTTAACATTTTCTATTTTTCAACATTTCTATAACAAAAATATAAAGATGATCATACATGTACGTATGTATTGTAGTGTATATCGCAAATTTCCCGCCAAAACACAAATGAATTTAACTCTTGGTATACGATTACTTCACCGTGTCGATCTTGAGCGAGATGGGTTGGTCCGTAAACATTGTTTCAACATAAACTATTTGTGAACGTATAGTTATCTTGATTTTAAGTACAATTTAAAGTGTGTCATGGGGAGTCTTCAAGTACTAGTTGTGTGGTTCGAACCAACGTCGGCAACAATCGCATCTTTTCGGCCCTTTCCGTCAGTCTTCGGATAAGTTATGAGGACAGGTAAGTGATTTACAGACAGAGCAGTAGCCTGGGATTCAGACGTTCATAGTTTTTGCTTTTTTATCACATTTTTTTGCTTATTCATAGCATATATGCGCTATTCCGTATTCGTTCGTCGTTTTGATAGTATCAGTGTCGATTTGCCAAACAGAACCATAAAAAAAATCGGCAGCTAGCAAAGCATTGAGGTCTCTAGTACATTGCTGTATTGAAACCAGAATAGACCTTGCAAATATGGAGGGCGATCATTGCCAAAATTCCAGACATGTAATGTGTTCCTTTTGGAAACTACTTTTGAAAATGCGAACATGTATGTCTAGCATTTTTTATTGCATTCGTGCACAGCAAATGATATGCCTCTTAATCCAATTTTTTAATTGAAGGCACCCGCTTTTAAATAACACGTTTACATGTAAATCTTAACAACTGACCTAACATGGAGAACAACAACACATTTACAAGTTCGTATCTACCATTGCATATAATACATAAGCATGTTTACACACTTGTAGATATATATCTGTACCTGAAAAACACAAATGAAATGTAAAACTCGAATGCAGAAAATATAATTTAATAAAACGTGTTCCAGTCGTAGAACTACAACAGTACGTTTACACAGTTACATGTTTAAAATGACAAAAGTAGATTCACAAAGTTAGACGATTCTAAGTCATGCATGACGCCCCGCCTCTCTCTGAGTATTTGCGATCTTCTATCACGGAAATGTACGGACAGGTATAATACCCGTCGCCTCTCTCCTATTTCTCAGTAAAGTGAAGGAAAACACGGCGTCAATTCTAACTTTTTTATTTCTATAAAAAGTCCAATATTATTGGTATCAA